CTTACATGTTGTGAATAGTTTTAGCTAATTGTTTTTACGACCGGCCGCCTGCTTGACATCAACCCTCTTTGGGAACAAACATGCACACACACACACACACAAGTATAAATTCGCCAAAATTTAAAAGGGACTATCATATTATAACTAAATACATATTTGATACAATCAAATTAAAATTAAGTTTTTTCTTTGTTAATAATTCATGTGGATCACACACACATACACATAATTTTCTTCATGATTACGTATTTGTTATCTGTGTCTATTTCTTCGTTCCGGATAATCTCTAAAACTGGTGAAGCATTTTCATCAATTTTTACCGGCAAATATGTACTATTATAAGAATTAATTCAAATGAACCATTTTAGAAAAATAAACATGTTTTTATTAAACAATTGAAGACAGTGAACGTTGAAATAATTAGGACATACATAAAATATGCCCTGTAAGGAATAACGTTTAAATTTATATAAATTAAAACTATCCAAACTTTCTCGATAAATAACCCAAAGTATTTATTAGAAAAAGTCATTAAAATAAGACACCTGGACACCTAGAGAACCTCAATAGTCCAGAAATACTCCTGGAGTTACTTCTGCAATTGGACCTGTATCTCAAATATATTTGTATAATATTATACGATTAGAAGATTATTACTATATTCTCATTCTTATTTATTACTTATATTGAAAATCCTATGACTTTTTTTATTTTAAATTATTGTTAAATAAATAAATACTTACTATTATATATATGTAGAAAAAAATATTCAATCATTTAAGAAGTATTTGTTATTAGTAATTAATAATAAAACTAATTGAAATTCTAATTGTTTTTAATAAAAATTCTAATGATTTTTAGACAATTTTATATTATAAACAATAAGATTATATATGTTTTGTAAGAAACAAAAACTTCCAAACTATATTTTTTACGAAATTATACTTAGTCTATTTCTATAATATCAATTAAAATAATAATCAAATCTTTAACTATCTCAACATTAATTTGTTAACACGGAATCGTTTTTAACTGTGTCAGTTAAAACAATTATTAATTTAAACCCTATCAAGTACGGGCGTACTACAATGACCAAGGCCAGCCGCGCCCCAAGCCAACATTCACTTGCGATATAGAAAGTACTAGCCACTAGAATAACTATAGCTCTATACCTAAATATAGTTCGCCGAATTTTGTAATGTCGTTGACCTTTCCCGGATTTTGAGTGTCGCTAAGGGATTGTTGTAAGTTACAAATAAATAAACAGAAAATATTATTTTACGGATTATACTTTGTGACTTTATTTTTGACTAGATTTCCGCCTGCAGCTTCGACCGCGTGGAGTTTTGTTATATCGCGTTTCCAAGAGAACCTTTCAAAAGTCTGGAATAAAAACTATCTTATGTTCTTTCTCAAGGTTAACTCTATATCTGTACCAAATTTCATTAAAATCAGTTCAGTGGTTTAGGCGTGAAAGCGTAACAGACAGACAGACAGAGTTACTTTCGCATTTATAATATATATATAATATATGTAGGAATAAAAACTACGACGACGACGTTTCGGCTACTTTTCAGTAACCGTGATAACATCTCGTCTGCCCGTGATGGTAGTAGTACATAGGAAATATGTTTCATTTAAATGAATAAAACTCGGGAAAATCTTAGATGTAATTAAATATTTAACACTTTTTTTTTATGAATTTTAAGCTGTTCAATACTGATTGTATTCTATGCATTTGCAAAATTATAGTGCATATGCAAAGTTCGTTCATATGTGCTCAAATGATTAAGCTCTCTTGGCTGTCTTTTTGTTGCACTTGACCTATGACAGGGCTTCGCGAATTTTATTTCCATCATTATCGGCAAAACTAGCATTTTCAAATTAAATCCAATGTAAAAACTACTAAAAAATGGGCAAAGTTGAATAGTATATATGTATTTTACAAAAATATAGAAAATAAAAGATTAACTAAATTAAGAAAAATAAACTGTTTTTTTCTTTTAAAAATCATACAATGATGACAATAAGATGAATTTAAGGTTTTCAAGTTATATATTGTAACAAACATACAAATTAACATAGTATTCTGAATGCGAACGAAATTATGTTGACTATTTATGTTCTCATAATTTGATTTACAAAACAAACTACTAAAACAAAGTATATATTGAAGTAAGCGGACCAAAATTCTTTTATAATAATAGTAAAGTAAAGTATTATATACTTCCGTGAACTATGTCTTCTTCTTCTACCTGGCAATTTATCAGCTTTAGCCAGGGTCTGCCTTACATGTTGTGACTAGTTTTTGGCTAATTGTTTTTACGATAGGCCGCCTGCTTGACATCAACCCTCTTTGGGAATGCATTAATCAGTGATGTCTAAATACTCTTATAAAGTACATATGACTCGGAAATATCACATTGGTACTTGCCAGGATCGAACTCGCGCCATTATACATGAGAGGTGGTCTTTTTAACCAATAGGCCACCACTGACTTCCGTGAACTATATATATATATAGATAGTTCACGGAAGTATATAATATTATATAATATAAATAGTTTGAAAAATACGCGGAAATAATATGAAACGGAATCGATTATACGTTAAAAAAACCTTTACGTATCCGGAAATGATATTGAGGTAGCAATTAATAGAGCCTTAGACTACGATCTTAGATACCAATCTTTATAATACTTTTCTTTCGTAATAAATTTATTGAGTTATAGGCCGCGAAATCTCTTGTAATAAAAATATTATATTTATTATATTCTAACTAGAATTATTAATAAAAATTACATATCTATTCATATATAATAATCAAGATATTGGATGGTGTATGAAAATATGGAAAATTAGCTATAGGTTTACTAAACAACTTCTTCTTGATCTTCTTCTACCTGGCAATTTCCCAACTTTAGCTAGGGTCTGCCTTACATGTTGCGAATAGTTTTTACGACCGGCCGCCTGCCTTACATCAACCCTCTTTGGGAATTAATGAATGAATGAAGGTTTACTAAACAACAAATATATTAATATACATATTACTAAGCCAGGCTTTGCTTGTGTTTTCATATATTTTGAAACCAAATTATCATCATTTATGTACTTTCGCTATATTTAATCTCTCTATGCTAATTTATATGTCTAACTTTGGTATTACAAAGGATTTTATGTATAATTTCTTGTCAAATAAATGACTTTTGAACATGTCCTTCCACTATAAGGAAGTAGACTCTAGTTTATTTTAACTCAGCGTTTTGACTTTATATACTTGTTTAGTATGAAGCTAATTTGTTAATATTGTGTAACCAACCGGTTATTGTTTAGTCTCTAACCAACACTAAATGATTGTAAATATAATGTATATCGAATGATAGATGGAAATTGTGGTGATTGTTGCAAGTATTGAGTACCAAGAATTTGATAAGATTTTGATAAGGTAGACATAATTTAATAGTTGATCGTAGTGAAAATGTAGATGCAATAACACTCCTGGCTATCCTGGCTAAAGTGACATATAATAAAAAAGTGAATAAATTCATAATGTGGTCGAGGTATCCTAGTGGTTAAAGGCCCGCCTATCATGCATGAGGGCGCGGGTTCGATCCTTGCAAGTACCAATGTGATTTTTTCCGAGTCATATGTACTTTCTAAAAGTATTTAGATATCACTGACAGATGTAGTAAAACTACGTAAGGAAATCTGGACTTATAATTTCCAATTATAAGTTTGAACTCACCAACCCGTCTTGAGCAACCGTGGTGATTGATGCTTAAACCTTCTCCATTTGAGAAGAAGCCTTTGCTCAGCAGTGGGCTCTGATAGGCTGATGATAAATAAATTCAAAGAACTAAATCAGTATTAATAATATACAATGATTTATTTCTGTATAGTCTTTTTAAATAAAAAAACCGATGTCCTATTGTAATTACTTATATGTAGCAATTAGTTTTTATGAGCTAATTATAAATGCATATATTCGATCAAGTCTTAAAATGGTTTCAATGTCGATGTTGGCTATTATGAGTCACGGTTGACATATTTTTTATTAATAAGCAATTATCGAAAGATATAAAAAAATATATATTTTTATATTGGTTATATATATTGTACATTTCCTAATATATATAAAATTTTATAATATTGTACTCTTAAATATTTTTAATAATATGTAGATATATGTATGTTATAATTTAAATAACCGTAAAAATTGTTTATCAATTTCGGAAGTAATAAATGATAATTACGATTGTTTTTCCGGAATTAGCAGATATAGAAAAAACGAATGAAGGTTGTATAGTCTAAATTCCAATAAACTTTATAGGTTGCGGAGGTCACAAGGCACTCGCTTTTAACAGCTAGGTCTAGGTTTTAACCTAGATTTAATTTTTTCTATACGAGATATTTTGAAAAAACATATCACTGTGTGATTGTAACCGTTTAAGAACCCAAATATAAAAAAAAATCATTATTAATCAGATAAAATGACAAATATTCAAATATACACACACACACACACACAAAGAAAGAGAGAGAAAAAGTTAGAGAGAGATAGAAATACAATCACACAAACATATGGTATATAACTTCTAAGCTTCTAACAAATAATAAAAATATAGAAATAAAGAAATGTCCTCTATAAGTTCTGTTTATTTTTTCACACGTTAAATAATACTAACGAATGATGATTACTAGGAAATTACTATACATAACTTTTCTGAAGTTTGAAATTTTAATCTACAATTCAAGGTCTGAACTGGTAAAGATAGTCATTTCCCAAGAGAGGCTACTTTATTGATTATATGTACAAATCCAACATAAAGCAGTTAAAAAAATCCCATACTATGTAAAGTTATGAACTATAATACTTATCCCATCGTGAGCTCAAAAAAACTCAAAAAACTATGAAGAAGAAGTTATGAATAGAGTAGAAACTAGTGACTTAAGACAGAAAATTCCAAATATTTTGATCCTGTATTACATAAATCGTCTGAGATGAGCTCTTGTTTTCATCTCGTGAATTATACATCTCTTCTTAATTCCCTTCTCTCATATGTAATACATATGTATTATTTTGTTTATACACGTATTTATATGTAATATATAACATGTATTGATCGTATGTATATATGTTATGTTTGTGTATATATGATTTACCTAAAAGGTGTACACCTCCGAACCCCTTAGAGTATTCAATGTCCTCTATCCAAAGGTTGTCTGTGATCGGTCTTTTAGCGATAAGACCGCCTTTTGTACCGTGTTTTCTATTTTATGTTGCTTCTTGTATTTTTTTGGTTCTAAAGTATATTTATCTTATCTTTCCAGATGAACAAACCAACAAACGCAATCGTCCTCGCGATATGTCGTTGTCTGAACCGCCGCCGACAATGGAGATAGCACAGATCCTCATCTCGTTACTACATGCTTGGGGCTTAGATGCTGACCTTGATAGGGTCTGCGAATCCAAGCTTGGGATGCTGCGGCCAATGGTACTATATTTGATACAATAAAAACCATTTTTATGTATACTAGTTTTTGTCCACGACTTCGTCGGCGTTAATTTTGGAATTAATAATATGTGTGTAGTTGACCGGGCGAACGCTATTCTCTTTAAAGGCTGTAAATAACCAGATATTAGAATTTATTAAGTTCTTTTTTCTTAGATCGAACAGAATTAAATATCCTATGTCTGTCTCCTTGCCCTAATATATCTATCCACTAATTTTCAACCATATCCCTATAGAGTTATATAAAATTCTCGTGTCACAGTTTTCGTGCCCATACTCCTCCGAAACAACCTGACCGATTTTGATGAAATTTTTTGTGCTTATTCGGTAGCTATGAGAATCGGCCAACATCTATTTTTCATCCCCCTAAATGTTAGGGGTAGTCCACCCCTAAATTTTTTTTTATTTTTTAGACAAAATTTTTAATTACTATTTTTTTATGATACAACGTACAAAAATACATACAATCCTAAATTTTCACCCTTCTACGATCAACCCTTATTTTTTAATAGCTATTTTAGTAATTTAATCATTTTTCATCTCCGGTCGATAACTGATCAATCGTCATTTAATAAGTTATCCCCGCCAGATATCTACAGGTGTCACTTCTGACCCAGTAAACAGCACGGAGTAGGGATGAGAACGAAGCCGGTCTTCTGTTTCTCTCACACAATTAGACTTCTCTCACTCCCTACACAGTTGTCGGCCATCGTTATTGTTTGTGCATCAAGTGTAGTAGTAACGTTGACAATTATTATTTTGCTAGCTCAGTGTAACTCTCATATTAACTATTAATCATTCCTAATCACTTCAAAACACGGAGATTTATGGCTTTAATAGGTAAACTCCAAAAATATAAATAAAAAAACGTAACAGATATTTCTTGATTATAGGGCGAAACGAAGTTCGCCGGGTCTTCTAGTAGAGTTATAAATAGTGTAACTAACACAACTTTCTTTTATATACATATATATAAGATTTGAAGATAGATATTTTTTAAAGCTAAACCTTTTTTTTATACATCTAAAGAAAATTAATTTTGCTTCCTAATAATTTGTAAGTGAAATTATATAAATAACAAATATTTGATCCTAATCTTTCGTTATATCGAAATAACTTAGTTTTTAACATATATTGTTCATTAAGATGTTCACTTCACAAATTCATGTTTATTTATGTATCCATTTAAAAAATATTAAAATTTCAAACTAATATAATGACGATAAAGGCTCAATTAGAATAGATAATAATTTATTGTCTCATGAATGCAGTTTAAATTATCCTATCTGAATGATAGGTTCCAGTTTGTTTCGGCGTGGTATCCCGTCACGGGCATATGGCCGTTCAGCTGCCCACGAGGCTGGGAGGGTGGGCGGAGGCTTGTGCCTCAGCGCCCACGGATCCTGTGCTCATGAACTCAGAACTTCCAGTAGAGTACCTACGACAAGAGCAGCTGACTAGGTTTGTGACCCAAATTGATAGAGAAATAAATTATTGTAAACAAAAATTGATTAGAAATAAGTTAGTTTTCGCAAATCTAAAATGAAATATAGTAAATTCACTGGAACTTATAAGTTTGAATTCATTTAAAATTGAAATTTGAAATGAAAGGAAAACATCGTGAGAAAACCTGGACTTAAAATTCCACAATTATAAGTTTGAAATCACCAACCCGTCTTGACCAAGCGTGGTGATTAATTCTCAAACCTTCTCCATGTGAGAAGAGGCCTTTGCTCAGCAGTGGGCTCTGATAGGCTGATGATGATGATGAAATTTACTGCCAGGATTAAGCTAATAAGAATATAGTGTTAAAACATTACTTCTATTCTACATATTAAGACTTTTTTATCATATACCCGTTAGGAATTTTCTCTAATGATCGTATTTTGAAATTTCAGACTATTCACGTCCAAGTTACACTGGGAGCTCAGCACGACGCTCACCACAAACCACCTTCTGTCCATCGTGGCACTCGCTAACACGCTCATGTCCATGAGCAATGCCAGCTTTGCACCGGAACAAGAGGTGGCCAGGAGATTTTTCAGGTAAGGATAAATGTTAGAATGACAGAATATGTACTATCACCAGTGGCGGCTGGTGGGTTATAAAACTGGTGGTGCACTTTACTAAAATATTAAAATTAGAAAATGAAACAAAATAACGAGATCAATCACGGCTCAATTCGTCATACATCGGGTGCTCTCGGTAATCTTCGGCCGCTCGTGCGGCGCTCGAGAACCGACTCATTACTCGGTACATTTCTATGAACTATCTTTTGTTTCACGCGCCAGGCGTATTAATGCGTATCTCATAAAAGATGTATTAGCAGTCCTCGTGCACTCGCCGAAGCGCACGAGATATTAGTTTAGTAAAGCTTACAAACTTTTTGACTATAATTAGAAAACTTAATTTTTTATACGTTTTTATATGTTAAAAAATAAATATTAAAATGGTAATTTAAAAATAAAGATGAAGTAATATTTTGTAATTTTTTAAATCTTTTGAATTGGTGGTTCAGCGGACGAGTGCACTTAAGGTACAGCCGCCACTGACTATCACTATCCTCAAACCAAGTCACGTCAAATTTAAAAGTAGTTAGATAAAGAAATGAAACTCCATAGAGCACTAAATTCTCGTTCTATCTGACTGTTTTTATCCAATTCTTTCATCTTAATTCTTCACACCTGGAATTACAAATACAGTTGTATTTTTTTGTTATGATAGTCCATATTTTAGAAGGTTTAATAAAAATTCCTATCCAAGGCCTACAACACGGACTTCTTCGTGGCCGGGAGACGAGGATCGTGAGGAACACATGGCAGCACAGCAGGCACTGATCAAACAAGGCTGGTCTTTGTTGGCAACGCACAGCTGTGTGCTACTCCCTGATAAAGTCGTTGCTGCTGGTAAATAAATATTTAAATTCCATCAGAACCAATTTAACCTACAAATGTCTCTATGGGCATAAATTCTAAAATAAATCCGAAATAATCTGAAATAAATTACAATTAAGGATAATAATAAATGTATGCAAAAATTGTTTTCATTTTGTAAAGCATATATTTTACTCCTATAAAACTTGTAATTCAATGTATTTCTAGTGAAATTTCTCCTATAAGAGAATTTAAATCTAGTGATATTTATCTTACAAGAGAAATAGAGGAATATTTTATATAATTCTCATGATTATTATAAGGTGCGAAGAACTTCAAGCGACCTCAAGTAGAGATGCTCGCCCGTCGTTGGCAACATCACTGTCTCGAGGTGAGAGATGCTGCTCAGGCGCTGTTGTTGGCTGAATTGGGCAGGTCAGTGACTTAGAATGGATAGTTTAGGATAGTATGTGGATAAACAAGAGAAAAAAGACCTAAAATTAAATGGAATGATGTATATACTGAATGAAACTGGTATTATTCTGAATAACTTCGCGTATTTTATTGATTTAAAACTACATGACTCGACATTTCGGTAACTTTTTAGCAACCGTGATTATGAGCAGACGAGATGTAAATGTCATTCATGACATGTCATGAACGTGGGGAGTATGTAGTGAAAACAATAAAATACGGATAGTAATCCGAATAATATTAGTTTCATTTAAATGAATACTCGTTATAGTCTAAGATCTTATTACGTCACGAAATAGTAGTAAAATGATAGACAATAAAATAATAATATCATATAATTTTTATTATATTCCAGGATGGGACCAAAAGGCCGTAAATCCCTGGTCGATAACTGGGCACAGTATCTACCGCTCTACACTCACACGGAGAGCATCAACCCACAAGCAACACAGAAGGAACCGGCTGAGAAAGTAGCTAAGGACGTGAGTTGGGAAATTATATCTACGAACCCCTTAATATACAGGGTGACTGGTGAATTACTATCGATACTTGAGGAAGTGATATTTGACGATCATATATGACAAAATAAAAATTAATATAACATAAATATTAATAAACTTCTAAGTAAAGTTAACCAAAAGTTATGTAATTAATTACGCATCGTGTGAACACCCTACAGATTAAGTATACACACACACACACGCGTGCGGCGGCGTGCTGATACAACACCACGTCCACACTTGGAACACTTGGAACGTGTCCACACTTTATTTATTTATACGGAAATTTGGTCAAAAATTAAGTACCTATTTATTTTACATAATTCGAATGAGAATCATGTACCGAGTATTCTCCTTCAATATTGATAGTAATTCACCAGTCACCCTGTATAACAAGTAATTTAAACTAAACCTGAAAAAATAATCGTCATTAGCCTATAAGAGCCCACTGCTGAGCTGCCTCTTCTCACATGAAGAAGGTTTGGGCATTAATCACCACGCTTGCTCAAGACGGGTTGGTGATTTCAAACTTATAATTGTGAAACTATAAGTCCGGGTTTCTAACGATGTTTTCCTTCACCGTATGTCAGTGGTGTCTAAATACAAGAAAAAGTCAAAAACATAATAATCCAACAATAGTAGTTTCAACAAAACTAAAAGCTTAAAGTTCAATAATATAAAGCAATTTAGTCAAAGCATAGTACTCAATAGTAGTTTTAGTCAAATTTATACCATAAGTTCAACAGCATAAGTCATAATTTTCGTTGTAAATTCTAGCAAGAAGAAGAATTCGAAGAAGAAGAGGAAGAAATCATAAGGAAGCCGTCTTCTATCGCTGAGCTGAAACGAAAACAGACTACAGCGGTTGTTCTATTGGGTGTGATAGGAGCGGAGTTTGGACAAGATATAGCTTCAGAAGGTAAAAAAATATTAAACCATTGTGCTTTAAATAACACGACTGAAGGGAAATTTCTTTCGCTCCATATATATGTAATATGTACATGAATATGTTTATACATATATGTATAATACATGCACTGGGTATGAAAGGAAGCGAGACAGAAAATATACGCCCGCACTGCTCCCTCCCTTGCCCTTACAGTAATATAGGAACCGTAACACTTTCTCTATCTATCTTCACTAACTTATATGTCCCTCTCATTTTCGTTCGCCTCGCCTGATCAAACTTTTCGTAACGCTTTCACCAGCTTACTCCCCAGCGTGCGTAAAGAAGTTTTACTTCAAATTATAGTAATCTTCACAATATCGACACAAATAACAAAATCGCCTTATAATATGTGTAAAGTATTCTGGCAACTAAATTTGTTAAATATTTTATAGGTGCCGCTGGAAATAAGAGACGTAAAGACGGTGACAGTAGGAAGAGTTCCATCGTTGAAGGTACAGTAATCTGAAAATATCTATATATATTTATATTGTTAGAGCAGAATTAGTGACTTTTGTTGTGTATATGGTGCCTTGACGATCGAGATGAATATGTCCAAGAATTTTATTGGAAATTAAAATTCACTAGACTTTACAAGTTCGATGTAATTAAAGTATTAATAAAGTATATAAACAAAAGATTAATCATTAAAATTAGGAATTAACTCCATCAAAGCGAATAGTATTATGAAAAATTTTATTCAGATAATAAAAGTAACAAGAAATAAAAAAATCATTTTCATCTGATTGCAATTTATACAAAGTAACCGAATCGTCAGGACTATTTTGCTTGAAATAGTAAAAAACGCGTTTTACATCCCAAAACATTACTTACATACAAATGAATACTCGCGAAAGTCTTACATATCAAAAAATAAGAAATTTTTATTAGATGATTATATACATATATAAGTCCCAAGTACAATCTATACTAATTATATTTTCTCTATTTTCATACACAGGTTTCACACTTAGTTCGTCAAACAACCTCGCTCGTTTGACGTCTTTGGCGCTAACTCACTTGCTACTAGCACCTGGATCTGCTCGCCTCCCCGCACATACGCCACTACGACGCGCGGCCATTGACCTCCTAGGGAGAGGATTTGCTGTTTGGGAACCCTACCTCGATGTATCTCATGTACTACTTGGTAATACTCATGAATAGAATAGTTTTTACAGCCAAAAAATACAAAATATAAGATCTGAATACTATTTTATGGTGAATTGATGGGGTAGTATGTATGGAGAGGGTAATATGTATGTAATTGTTCAGAAAATTATATTTAGAATTAATTGGATACTTTTTAAGTATCGACAGAAGTATTTTAATGATCTGATTATGAATTTAAACTTTAAAGGGACATAACTTAATATTATTCCTCAATTCACAAACCATTTTTTGTATCAAACTTTGGTAGATTAATGCAACTGGTTTAATTTTTTATTTTGTTTGTAATGTATATATTAATATTTGATAACCCATAGGTTTGTTGGAGATGTGTTCAGACGCTGATAAACTAGTGCCTTCAATGACGTACGGGCTGCCTCTCACACCGCAGGCGGACTCGTGTAGAACAGCGCGGCACGCACTGACACTTATAGCAACCGCAAGGTATTATATTTTATTTTTATTTGTAAGTAAGTGAAACAAACAGCATATTTTATATTACATAAAACTTATAAACCTTGAATAACCCATAAGCCAATACAAATTCCACAAATAATTAATCTGGAAGTAAACATATATATACAGGGTTACTGGTGAATTACTATCGATATTTGAGGACGTGATATTTGACGATCGTATATGACAAAATAAAAATTAATATAACATACATATTAATAAACTTCTAAGTAAAGTTAACCAAAAGTTATGTAATTAATTACGCATCGTATGAACACCCTACAGATTAGGTATACACACACACACACACAGACGCGGCGGCGGCGTAGTGTTGTATCAGCACGCCGCCGCACGCGTCCACACTTGGAACACTTGGAACGTGTACACACTTTATTTATTTTTACGGAAATTTGGTCAAAAATTAAGTACCTATTTTTTTTACATAATTCGAATGAGAATCATGTACCGAGTAATCTCCTTAAATATTGATAGTAATTCACCAGTCACCCTGTATATATATATATATATATATACAGTTGAAGGTACATTATATTGAAAATGTAGCTAAGTCAGCATAGAAGCATTAGATTTACATATAAATGCATATATTGTATACCAAGCATTGCTCAGGAAGAAATTTAAGACCACTTTTTGTCAATAATAGAAAGTAAACTACAAGGTGGCGTAAAATAGAAATAAACTTTTTTACAATGACAAAGTAACATACAGAAGAAAATATTTGTTATTAATATCCCTAGTTAAGAAAGTACAGCTACGTTATATGCAAATATTTTTAGTTTGCATTTCTTTTCATAGACTAACAAGTTGTAAACACACAAACAATACAAAATTCAGTGCGATTCAAATCATTCGACTTTTCACTTATTAGAAAACAATAGAAAACAACTACATATATAGTGTCATCTCGACTTATATTTGAGGTTGATCAATGACATCCTAAAACCATACATATATAGTTCATTTCAATAGAATTTACCATCTTATAAACAAACATGATTACCTGATATTGACAGAAACTTATTTATATTTATTTCAATTCACAGACCAGCAGCTTTCATAACGACTATGGCCCGTGAGGTCGCGAGGTGCGCCGCCGCCCCCGCGGGTGCTCCGCCCCCGCCCGCCGCCGTCGCCCTACAGAGAGGCAGGGCGGAGGTTCTAAGGGGAATAGAACTCCTCATAGAGAGGATGCACGGCGCTGTGGCTGAATTACTAGTAGAGGTATGAGGGATTTGATGGTATATAGTCGGGATAGTGCAAATCCGCGTAACTGTCATTGCATAATTCCGCGTATCTACATTGGAAGCAGATCAGAAGAAAGTTTAAGCTGAAATATTTTCTAAATTAAGACGGTTGCCATTTCCTTAACCCCATCCTTTTGCTTGCTTCTCCTTATTAACATCCTTTCTTCCTTTCTCAACGACCAAGGAAGGTGACGCATCCCCAACATCTCTATAACTAAAAGAAAGAGAACTATAAAAGAAAGAAAAACTATGTATGTAAATTTTCATTCTAGTAAGCACTAGTGAACGATAGAACTAGAATAAAAGAGAAAAATAGCAAACAAGGTCTCTGACCACGTCAGAGGGATAATTATAAAATAAAAATAAAAAAACAAAAAACATCTCTTATGTGGCAGATGTCTATGGGCGATGGTGACTAAATCCCATCAAGTAGAAATTCTATCTTTGCCACCTTTCTCATAAATAAACAATTTTATTTGCACGTTAATAATAATATCACCACCCAATTAATACATTAATAACCTATTTTTTCCAGGTGATGGACATAATACTTCACTGTGTGGACCAGTCTCATCTGAAAAGTAAAGGCCTGAGTGAAGTGTTTCCAGCTGTATGTCGTTACAACCAGGTGTCTCACTGCCCGGCTACCAGGAGGATTGCAGGTTTTTAGATTTAATAATATAGAAATCTTAGAAATATTTAGTGTTTATACAATAATAGTTTGCGATATTTATAATTGTTTGATTTACATGCTATTATCTTTCAATTTTTTATGTTATTTATCATAATAATAAACATGTTATTGATAATTTACTTAATAATTAATTTCTACTTTTTTTAGTTCTACTTTGTTTATATAAAATAATACTGTTTTCTGGCGATTACTTACTTTTAAATAATGTCTTTTGACATACATTGACAAAAACACAATATAAGTAATTCTATTTTGGACGAGAGCAACAGAATATTATGAATTTGATTTTGGAACGACTGGCAGATTTTCTTGCAGGAATTTTCATTTACGTCATTCTATTATTGTCTATCCTACAAATGTTCACTAATTTCTTCACAAATTTCTCCATCTACCGTCCAAATGTTCTCAGTGGGTAGTCACACGGGTCAGCTAGCTATCTACGAGCTCCGCGCCGCGCGCTGCCAGTCACTGACCGCGCACGCGGGTCCGGTCACAGCGTGCGCCTTCAGTCCCGACGGGAGGTACCTCGTGTCATACGCGACCGCTGATAACAGACTCTCATTCTGGCAAAGTACCGCTGGTTAGTATAGAGTAGTTTATATTAGACTAATGTTATTAAGATGCCCTGCCGCTGACATAGCGGCCGATGGCTTTCGCAGTGGTTTTAGTGAGTAGGGGCCTGCCCAGGCCGAGCCTCACACATCCCTTCCGGCCCCACCAAGGCCGGCTGGAGGGCTCGTAAAAAGTTTTACTGTATCATCAAAAAGAATGTCATTAAAATGACTACTCAATTATATTAGTTTCATTTAAATGAATATTCGTGGAAGCCTTAATTAGTATAGGAAATTTAATACTAGCCACAACCAAATGGGACAATTCAAAATTATCCCGCACACATCTACTGAGAATTATATACTAAATGATAAAAACTATTTAGTTCATGGCATATTAAATATACTTGATGTTACAAAACGTGTGACTGTAAGTCTTTCGTTAATTTTAAGTCGCTCATATCAACACCAGTTTAAAAAGACCTAGATAGACATATTGAATAACCATTCTTGAAAACAATAACTGGCCAACAAACACATATGTCACATATTCTAATACCTTCAAGAAACTAAGTAACAACCATTTTAAAAAGACCCCTATTGCTATAATTTCATATATTATTTTATATGTCAGGTATGTTTGGTCTTGGAGCTGCTCAGACGCGTTGTGTGAAGTGTTATAGCACAGCCCCGATGGCGGATGTATCACGTCTGAACCCACTTCATCTCGCGAGGCTAGTGTGGACCAACTCGAGAACTGTAACTTTAGTATTAGCAGACGGCTCGGAAACTAGATTCAATGTTTAAGATAGGTCAACTTATATTGGTCATACCAGCCAGTAAGGTCAAAATATATTGGTTATAACCGTTCTATGTAAAGTCACTGTAGTTATATATTTAAAAATGTGTATCACTAACAGCTGTAGCGTTAAATATTATTGTTGTATAGCTTTAATTCTTCGCTATTTATGAAAGTTACAGAAAATTGTAAAAAAAAATCTATATTCGTGCCATTGAATGTATTATTTTCTCTAAATTATACTTGACACATAACACATTAAAAATTTCAAAGAAGCGTCACAGATGAGAATATAACTTAAAAATCATTATGATACAACGATTGACAACAATATATCATATTATTATTAGCATTCAAAGAAATTAAAATATATAAAAAATAAATTAAATATTATCAAAAAATACGCATATATAATATGTCTGTTCTCGTAGTCATGTAAAGTATTATTGTTTTTATTATACATATATTATTGGAATTATTTAATTATGTACTTGGCGTTATTGATGTTAAATAAATGTTTAATAAAAGTGCTGTTTTAATTCCGTATCCCTTTTTACTATATATACTCAAAGGTCAATAGTCAGTGGTGGCCTAGTGGTTAAGGGGCCCGCCTCTCTTTGCCGAGGGCGCGGGTTCAAACCTGGCAAGTACCAATGTGATTTTTCCGAGTCATATGTACTTTCTGAGAGTATTTAGATATCACTGACAGATGAAGGAAAACATCGTGAGGAAACCTGGACTTATAATTTCACAATTAAAAGTTTTAAATCACCAATCCGTCTTGGACAAGCGTGGTGATTAATGCTCTAACCTTCTCCATGTGAGAAGAGGCCTTTGATCAGCAGTGGGCTCTGATAGGATGATGATGATGATGACGAAAGGTCAATAAGTCATTGAACAAATATAAGTTTAATATCAAAGATTCCATATGAATCGTTCAATCATCTTTTTCTTAGTTTCTACTATTTATAAATCCATAGTCTTTTAATTTAATTAGTTATATTTTAGGATCAATATATTTGAAAAATGTCCTCGAAAAATATACTAGAATCTTTCATAGTTAGCGAATATCACCTCTGTACTTTAAATCTACAAATTTTTATTATCCACTTTTATTCATTTTGTGTCTAACCATGTAGTCCGGTCAAATTAGACCAAATAATAACAGTAAGATTACACAAATTCCCACCAAGCTGAAAATCGGTAAGATTGTTTGAAATATCATTAAAAAGTTTGAAATATCATTAAAGAGTTTTTCGCGATTTTCAGCAAAACGGTAAGTTTTATCATAAAAATATCTCAAATAAAAATTGTAGATCATAAAATTATCTACAAAGAATTAATATTTCTTTTTTCTACGAGCCACCGTTTTTGAGATATAATGATTCAAAAAGTTGTAAAAGTTGTAATCGTCATAATATATGAAAACTATTGAAAAATAATGGATATTAGCAGAGATTGAAAAGATAAAAGCAATTTAAGTAAAAAAAAAAGTAGTGAAAAGAATAAAATAAGAATTATATTTCTTTTTATAAATATATTATTTCTTTGATATATGTAGTTCTGCATAAATTGGATATAAATTTCACAAAATCTAATCTAACCTATACAATAAAACAATTAATTTATGGCTGTATGATACAGTTGATATCTGTGTGACTCTATTTACGTCGATATTTTATTAAAATCATTTGAAATAGGTTCGCCATGGATCTGTACGTGGGAGAAGTGGGAGCGAGAAATATAACGGCTAAATCTCTCTACAATTCACGTTTGGAACGTATTTCGATGGCAACCCTAATAGGTTCTTTTCAAATTTGGTTAGGTAAAGAGAGTTTGTACGGTGGAAGTAAGCGTTTATCGCGTTAGATAGGAGCCCCTTAAACCTACACCTGGGTCGCAAGTCCCAGTCACTGTTGAAGCTCCTCTCACTACAACGATGGACCCAACACACGCACCGTGAATACATGGAATGATGAGAGGTTTCGTCTGTGTCTAATTCTGTTGAAACTATAGGAACAGTTATTATGGAAGATCTATCCTTAAGATAATTTATTTAAGATATATGTACTGGTGTATTGTTTTATATTTGGCTTAATCATTGTTTCATTTATTTAATTAATAATTTAATTTATTTCACTAATATTTCTAATTTATTTATATTTTCGTAAATACTGAACCGTTGTTACTTTGTAATAGCAACATTTAAGTATCAACCTATATTTGAAAACTATAAATACAGGCTTCAGCCATTTTGTAGGACATTACTATTGACAACACTGAACATTCAAAGATAAATCTAAAATTGTATATTTAACAACATCTAATAAATGGCTAAAATTGTAGGTAATGGGATTTCACTAAGGATATAAAAACATTTCTTATTATACAAACATTCTCAAATAATATTATTTCCTTATTAAATCAGCTATCTTGTAGTGAAAGTCTTTTCAAAATTCGTCCAGTCGTTTCAGAAATTCCCTATCAGAAGTGTCAATAATGCAGCAATGAAATATATAATGTAAATGATATTTTTATTTACAATACGGTATGTATTACATGCATTTAGAAAAATAACTTATTCATAAACTTCAGTTTTATTTGTATAGATAATAAAAACTTCAAATTCGTAGTTCAAAGGATATTTATTCATTTGTATAACAATACAGTTTTTCCACTTATAATTACAAACAGTTACATTTCATTGACTTTTCGTCTATACATAAGTTTTTCTTCATTTTATTTCCAGAAAAGTAAGACTTAATTTTAAATTTGGCACTCATGTTAAAATTTAAATATACATTACTAAGACGTTACTTAAGTGTAACATGATTAGATAGATTTTTTATTATATAGCAATGTATTTGAATGAACTCTAAAAGATTTGTTTTGTTGTTGACTAAATAGACTTCAGACGCCAGAGACGAGCTTTTTGCAAACAATGAAATACATATAAATATAAATGTGATAACGAAATGGAAATATATTTTATAGTTCTTTTAACTTATAGTTCATGACATCAATGAGATTCACTTACATACTTGTTAAAAAAAACATTTTGTTGTTTTAATCATTAAAAATAATTAACACTTATACTAAAAATGTGGTTATAACATTGGGTTTGATATGAAGATACATCATCATCATCATGTAATATAAAAAGAATATTATGTTTTTCTTAGAAAAGTACAATTTCTTTGACAATCATTCATGCAGTGTAACGATGGAAAATGTAAGCATAGTGTTCAGTATACTTAATAAGAGATCGTTCATGTAAACTAGATTTTTTTAAAGTTAAGAGCAAATTATAATATAATTATAATTTTATTGGGTCGTGGGTTTGTTACTGGGACTTTGGCATAGAATTTGCCATTTATTTTTTTTGAAAAATCATTGCTACTTTCAAAAAAGAACATTCACCTTTTATTGTCGTTTCTTCTATGCCGTATATATGTATATGTTACATATTAGAATACACTGGAACAGTCTGCATTATCTGTACTTCAAACTGACTAGAGATTTTCATACTATTTTTTGTATGTAAAATTTGCATCATCACAAAATTGATCATCATCTGTATCTGTGTCATTGTCATTTAAACTTTTAACGATATTCATCATCGAGCTTCTATCGATAGTTTCTTCATCTGATGACGTATCAATGAAGTCCACATCGTAAACTACCCATTTTAAATCACCATTCCTTGTTAACGTTAACCAATTCTTGTTCAACACTTTAACGAGTTTAACCAACACATACTGTCCTTTGTTAACGTGTGTAGAATTCTCAGTTTTAATAACACCAAATAGTTCTAAGTCGAATTCGTATTTCAAGTCATTTGTGAACGCGAGGAATTCTAATTTTCTATCGTCGATAAGTAAATCGTAATCATCAACAACTAGTTGTATTTTAACGAATATGGTGCTTTTATTTTGATGCCACATTATCTTTGGATGTCGTTTTTGGTCTAATTCCTTAATAATGTTCCGTTTTACTGGAGTTTTTGATATTTCTGATAGCTCCGGTGAACTTAAATCATCCGAATCTAATTCTTGTGTAATATCTTTGCTTCCTTCAGATGGTTCTTGTTTAACAACTTTGCTTCCTTCAGATGGAGAATTCTTTTCGCTAAATGTTTTTGATGTTTTTTCATCGCAATTAGTAATTGCACATTTATCTGTCATATTCCCAAATAAAGCTGCAGCGTTATTAGCGCTGATATTGACTTCCCATTTATCTGAATCATCTGATTCGTCATCCGAATTTATTAAAGGTACTGAACGTATGGGTCTTGGAATGATAGAGTTATTCACAACATTAATCTCACAAATAGTATTTTCATAGTTTTCTTCGTTATCAGCCTGTAACTTAGGTATATCTTTCTTTAACTCTGTGTGAATATTATCAAAGTACTTTAATTCCTCTTCTTGTTCTTGAGCGAGATTTAGATCAATCATTAGTTCGTTTATAATGACGTCTTGTTCCGTGTTAGTGTCTATTAAAACAACGCCATATTTGTTTCCGCCGGTGTATTTCGCTGGTTCTTTCGTGAAATACTTAACAAATAAATGTTTTAAATTTTCACTGCTGCCTTCAAAGCAATTATCATAAAACCAGTTCGTACTGAAATCGGTCCATTCTTCGCCTAGAGGTTTTACACCAATCAATCTACATTCGATAGCTTGGAACGGTAATTTATTTATGAATTTATCCGGTATTTGAACAATGCTTTTTATATCAATCTCCCTCCAATCACCTTGGTCTACGAAAAAACATTTTACTCTGTTTTCATTAATTGTATCGATTCTTGCTCTTTCGTATGTTTTATCATCAGGAAATTCAGCCAAAACTATATCTCCTTCTTTTATATCACTGATTTGTTCTGTGTTATTCTCAACATGAACCTTTATATCTTCCAACAGACTAATCATACAGGATTCAAATTTTTCCAAACGTACAAAGAAATTTGATGGATTTATGGCGGAAGCAAAAAACACATTGTTCATTTCTTCGCTGTCTAAATGAGCCCAGGAAACATTTTGCGTATTCTTCAATGTTACATCTTTAGTTTTATTATCGTCAACTGTACTATCTGCAACATTCAATCCACTATTTTTACAGAGAGCTTTAATTTTGTTTAAATGTTCAGAATTTATAAGAGCATGATTCTTTAGAAGTTCATGCTTAAAATTATATTTTACGACCGTTTCATTCAGAGACGATAATTCTTGGCAAGCCTCTAGGGTTGTCACAAAAACACAATTTCCGACCGCCAGTGACACTTGACCCCTCATAAACAATTCATCATCAGCATCAGTTAATTTCTTTAAATAATCTCGAGCTAGATCAGAGAAAGTTATATCTCTGTCTTTGGGTTCTAAATTAGCAAGTCTTACTTGTACAACTTTTGTTTCTATCTCTTTCAAATCGTCCGGCAAATAATATAGATATATGTCTCTAGTTATTTCATACTTTTCTTCGTCTATTAATCTAACCAAGACTTTGTTAGGATTTCCTCTCTGATATCGCGACAATATTTTGAGTACTTGACACCTCGCGTAGAAGTTAACTTTCATAGCTACGGCACAAATATCTCCAATTTCTGGCATTCCGTGCAGTTTTCTATGAGTTTCGTTGGCGAAATACATGCCCATTTTTAATGAAAGCGTACTGTATGTTTGAGGAAACTTTGAATTTGTGCCATTAACAGTTACTGTTAAAAGTCTGGCTGAATATAAAGTTGCTGTATGATAGTGTATTATTTTGAATGTTATAACACCATTTTTCGGTACCCATTCTTTGGGAGTATCTGCATCTTTTAATATTGTATGCCTTTCGTGGCAGTTATAGAAATCTGGACAGTCGCCTAATTGCAGTAAGTTATCGCAAAGTGGAACCAATTTTTGAGCTTTTATCACATCTTTATTAGTTAGTATACTGGCACAAACATTATTTAAGAACGTCGGAAGATTTTCGGTGCATCGTTTGATAAAATTCACGATTTTTGGTAGCTGTTGCGCGTTACTCTCTTCTAGAAGAATTTTAATTTTAACATTATCGTTAATATCTTTGAAAATTGATGGGTAATTGTCGTTTAAGACGGAGAAACGCTTGCAAAACGAAGAAAAATACTGCGGCATCGAGTAGTGTATTAGATAATGTGCGTCGGTTACATTCATATGGGTCAAATTTCCATCACAACACACAAGGATAGGTCCTAAAACCGGTTCTCGATAATCTCCCCACGCTTCACTTAAACTATATAAATCGTGAACAGTCATATTATTGTCACAAGCAAAAACAACGCGTTTTGTTTTCTTCAAAGCTATTTGCAATACTTCCACTTCATCGTTATCGGAACAAACTATTACAGTTTTCTTTGAAGCGTCTATCGTTTCCAAGAATTCAAAAACATGCTCCATCTTATTTTCGCTCTTAATAAAGCTGACTGATGTATTCGCTTTTGAATAAAGCACGCATTCTTGAAACGCTCCGATACATATTATCGTATCGGGTGCTTTTTTTGCCAACGGTACCATAAAATCACACCAAATACGGGATGCAATTATGTATTGCACTTTTAACTCTTTGTTAACTCGATTTTTCAGCATGGTATTGATTTTAATTTGAAAGAATTTGAGTTCATCGTTATAGCTCTGCGTTAATCGCTCGCAATCGTCTAACACGTACATCGAGAGACGTTTTAAATCTATACCAAAATCGTTTATTTTCAACAACCGGGCTAAAGCTGGTGGTGTACTAATGAATAAATCACATCCATTCAATAAAGCTGTTGTAATATACGTTTCATCAACACCGGCATAGCACGCCACGACTTTTTCGTCCAATCCAAGGAACATTTTAGCCAATTTCTCGACTTCTACCACAGATTTCGCGGTAGCACAAACTATAATACACATAGGGCCTGAACTATTCGATATATCACCACCACCGTCACTAACTAATCGACAAACAGCAGGCAAATAACCCATAGTTTTACCACTACCCATGGGATTAACCATGAATACACTGAAACCCCTCAAAATCGCATTCCAAGACACAGTCTGTACCATCATAAGCTTTTCGATGTTCATATTTCTCAGCACAAGTCGTATATGCTCATTAAAATGTATATCTCTCATCTGGAAGACGGGTTCGATACGTTTATTGCTCTTCGAATGAACCATTAAGACGGGTGTCACTAATTTATCTACAAACACGGACAAGCTAGAATCGACATTCTTGAATGGATTTACGTTATTTTTCAACGTTATATCAACGGAATCGCTGACTTTATCGACTTTTAGTGATGGGGGTTTTTTGTATCTTTTATCGATAATTTCCAAAACTTCATCGTCGTCAAAGGATTCCTTGTTTTCGCCGACACTAGACGTTTCTGTGTTCGTATCTGTGCTTGATATACTGCTTTCGTTATTCCTAACACTATCGCGAGCTTTTAATCGTCGTTGTAACACAGAACTTAATATTGTTTGATCACTGTCACTTGCTTTAGCCTCAGTATGTACTGAATTATCACAAATCCCTTTAGGTACATGATAATCAACTTCAGAATCAATTTTACCAAAATCTTCTTTGTCTATACAATCTTCTTGAGGCTGTACTTCATCAGCAACTATATTATAATCCAAAGCAGGTACTTTCTCAACTTTCATCTTAAAAGGATCTAGGTCTGGAGGTCCAAATGCTACAAGTTTTTCTGAAACATGTTTATTTCCTTTGATTTTTGCAAATCTTCTTTGTGTTGCTGAAACAAAAACAAAATTTTCAATATTTATTTTAACTGCTTTATAGAGAAAAATTATATAAATATACTTGTTGTCAAGAATAAGTTAGAAATAAACATTTTAAAAGAATTCCATATTGTGGACTGACTCTTTAAAACAGTACAGTAAAATTTTCATTAACTTTTTGATTGCCAATAGGTTTCATATATTGGTCACAAACTGGTAACATTGCCATTAAATTATAATTAATTATTTTACAATAAAATACTTTATATTTACTAAATTTATCAAAAATGACTAACTTACATTATGTATAAGTTAATAAGTATAGATTTTAAAATTATATTTACTGAAACATTTTTTGTTAATATTCATGTAATATTACTCATATATTAGTGAACTACAACTTAAATATTAGTTATTTTGAGATAGTACGAAAATGTATGATAATTGTAAATTAATATCAACCCACATTTTTCATGATCATCATTTTTATATAAATTGTCACAACCGTTAGCAGCCTTTTGTATTTTAGCTCTGTCGTGTGCCAGAATTCTCTGTTCTATATTATGAGTCTTTCCTAATCTTCCATTTAAAAATTTTAAACCATTCTGATTATTGTCTGGTTCACTTGAATCTGCATCATCATACTTAGATCTTGAATTTTTGTCCAGGAAATGTTTCATATCATCAAATGATGTTTTGTTGTGATATGATGCCTTCTTTTTTAATAATTTCGACTTTAACTCAGTCTTGTTAGAATCCGCTTTATAGAAGCCTCGTCCTAACGGTTTCTCGTTTACATCTTTACAAAGATCAAAATCGTTACTCTTATTTTCTATTACCGTTTTTATCATTCTATTATTGTGTTTTTCTAGATTTGATACTGTTAACTCGGATTCAAATTTCTGTTTCATTTGGAATACTGATGTCTGTTTTCTCATAGATTTCTCCCACTCTTTCTTTTTAGATAACTTCGTGTAATGCTTTTCTAATTGTTTTATGACTTCCTGTGTTTTAATGGAATCCAGATTTGTGTTTAATTCACCGTTGTTGAGTTGACTGTGAAATTTCGATACATTCATTTCAGCAAAACCAGATTTAACTAAATATTTTGAAACCTTCTTCAGTTTTCCATCACTGTTTTTTAATATTAATTCTCCATATTTGTGTATGTTGTCATCGAATATTGAAGATCTGAAATGAAAAATAAAATTCATTACACAATGACAATGAATTGACAATGAAAATAATATTTTTCTAAATAAATATATGTTTACTTTATTTTACCTTCTATCTATGTAAGTTGGAAGAAACCATACTTCTTCGGATTTACACAAAAGATTTTTTAAGATTGTATTCGAAGCGGGAACCCAATCAGTACATTGAGCTGAGACAATACACTCAAGTTCTACATCAATAGTAGTTTCATGTGGTATGATACCGTAAATACCGATTTGTTCGAAAACAAACTCATCTTCACTCACAGTGGAATCACATACTTCCACCCATATTAAAGACGGATTTAAATAATGGATCACATCTACTCTATAACAATCCGTTGGCATTTTTGAGTTCTATTTAAAAAATATTTACTTTCATTTAAATTAAAATGCCGGGTTAGCGAAACTGTCTCAAAATATTGGTATTTGGTAACCACAGATAATGAAATCGATTCCTTTATGGTAATTTTTGCGAATGACAAAAGAATAGTAAACATGGATAAAATTATAATTTATATTTTACATGACTTACATTAATAAGTTTATTTAGCACCCCATGTTTCAATTATGTTACATGGTATTGGAATTAAATCAGGTTAAATTCTAATATATAGGTGATTCAGACTTATACAAATAAATATATAGTGTAAATTGCTTTAGTCCGTTTTTTATGTAACACCTAGCTCTTATGTTCCCAAAAGTTTGTAATTGCTTATTACTCTTAAAATATTGTAAGCCTGACTAATACAAAGCATAAACTATTTAAAATATTAAATCTGTAACGATCACACTAAATACTTAACAAAACTGAATCCTATAATTTCCTTTTCACATTTATATATAATAGTGATAGTAACTGAATCTTCAATTCTTAGAAAATATCTACTATATATATATTTATATGTCTCGAAACAAAATATATAATTGAATAACAAAAATTAGATGGTTCACCAAATAATGATTTATATGTGACATTAAATTTTCTCGTCACTTCGTTGTCAACAGATGACAATTAAATTGAAGTATTAGCAATGAATTCGTGGCGCAGAAAGTGTATAACAATAATATAAATAAATGGCATTGTGATTGTGTTTAATATATAAAATTATAAGGAATACGAATATAAGGGTATGTTACTACTAATTAAATTTATTATTATAAGTCACTTACGCTGACAAACATCGGATATTTATCAACTAATGAGCTTATAAGCTATAAGATTAGCTCGATGTTTATTAATTTAGAATACTTAAATTTTATAAATGTTTACCGTTCAAGGTCTACCGGTTAATTTAAATGTCGAAAATGAAATACCAGTTGCATTTGCAGGAAAAAATAGAATAATAAAATAAAAATATAATTAGCTAAAATTATTACGCCGGAAAACTTTTATTTCGTTAAAAAATATCCAATTTTATCAATAAAATTTAAATTTATTATTTATTGCAGAATATGGGTATAGCAGTGAGTAAATATTCAGATATTTCAAGTAATGAGTTGGTTGCTAAATTTTGCTCGAAGGAGGTTATATGTCCAAATGATCCATTCTGGAACCAACTCCTCTCTTTCAACATACAGATACCAACTAATGCGTAAGTACATATATATAAAAAGAAAAATTAATATCAAAATAGAGATAAAAGTTTAGATTAAATGGTTTCTTTTTATCCTTTAAGAATTAAATTCATTATCTTCTTACATCTTGTCACTATAACTAAAGAATAAATTAAGTAAACTTATTTGAAATTAATGAAAACAGTGTACTTTTATAATATCCCCATAGTTTCTATTACTTCTGTAAAGTATAAAAATTGGTCTTTTCATTATAAGTCATATACTAAAATTAATCAATTAAGTATATGTTGTCATTTTTAAATTATTAATGTTGTTCATTCAGATAAATAAAGTACTATAAAATAAATAAAATTGAAAATTTGTCAATTTATTTTCTATATTTTATTTGTCACTCTGATAATATATCAGCTTCATTCATAAATAATTTAAATGTTGCTCTTTATATAGAAATCCTTATCAAAACACTAAAAATGAAAGTTAAGAGTGCATGAAGCAATCTGTCATGATGTTAGGGACACTTAAAGATAAAGCACTTGTAAAAATACACAACATTGTGGGAAAAAATCAACCTTTTTTGTGTTTGCCTAATTCAGCCAGTTGATGAACACATATATTATATACATTATACACATATGACAATTACACACTATAATAATACAAATAAAACATATTCCCAAAGAGGGTTGATGTCAGGTAGGCGGCCGGTCGTAAAAACAATTAGCCAAAACTATTCACAACATGTAAGGCAGACCCTGGCTAAAAGCTGGGAAATTGCCAGGTGGAAGAAGAAGAATAATATAAATTAATTAATTTTGCAGCAATGAACAGTTGATGTTCGATTCGAGTGCCGAGTCACTTCTACAGAAGTTTCTCCAGAACAATCCTCAAACGGGTAACTTTGGGTCATTAGTGCAGGTTTTCATCACCCGGGCCACAGAACTATTGGCTGCACCAAATTCTGACAAGTAAGTCGTTTTCAATATAATACAAATTATCTATTACAGAGTAAAACCTCTTTAGTTTATTTTTGGCTGTAAACTGGTATGTACATACTACATATTAAGTAATAAATGAACATCGCCGGAGCGACATCGTTGTATGTGTAATATATAACGAGTGACGCCACTGACTTCGTGGAACGAACACTAAGCCGTGTGAACCAGAAGAAGTAACAAGTTCTTAAAGTGTTTTTTTCACAAATAGCAATAAATTAAACACTAAATAATTGCTAATTGTGAAAAAATTATCTTAAAATTCGTTAATTTTGAAAATATTTCAGCTTAAACTTTCTTCTGATTACTTAAAATGCAGATATGCGGAATTATCCTATAGTAGTTAAGCGGTTTTGCACTATTCCTGAAGATATGTAATTTTTATTAAGATATCCATATAAGTTTCTTAGTTTTCTTAGACCTTTGGTTGCCATCCTATGTAATTAAACTAAAAACATTATTTTTTTTTTCTTATCTTTACAGTCTGCCATTGTCAATTTATTTGTATTTATTAATCATTATTATCATTAATTTCAGTGTAATGCTTGCATGGCAGAGTTACAATGCTCTGTTTGTTGTCCGAGCTGTGGCCAAATATCTTGTTGAATTGGTCCCCGAGTATGAAGTCTGCAAACATCTTGATGTACAAGCTGCTGTGGCAGTAAGTATTTGGAAACGAATTTTTGTCAAGGGAATTTGATACTTAAGTAGCTTGTCATAGAAATGAAATATCTTTGTCATTAACTTACAAAGATATTTGCAACTTAATTGGTAATTGAGAATGCTTGCAAAATAAATAGTTGTTTATGTACATGTTCATTACTCATATAAATTACTGATGGAATTTTAATTGAACTTTTTAAGTATATAGTTCATAGATTAAAGTAACTATTGGCTGTCTTTTAGACCAAAATTGTGTGTAATATAATATTGATATGTTGTTTTAACTCACATACCAAAGATCAGCATTTAATTTGTTTTAAGCAAAATTAATAATTTCACTCCAAATCATTTTTCTGAATTAAGTGAGGATGTTATCAGAAGCAAAGTTAGTTATTTTTTTAATATAATTCAATTTAAAATTCTTCTATGTACTGTCACTTATCTCTTTCTTATAATTTACTAGCTGCGCCCCGCGGTTTTAACCCGCGGATTTCCAGGATTTCTGGGATTTCCGGAATGTAAAGTAGCCTATGTGTTATTCCTAGACGTCGGCTTCCTGTATACAACATTTTATCAAAGTCGGTTCAGCCGTTTGAGCGTGAAGAAGTAACAAACACACACACACACACACAAACTTTCGCAATTATAATATTAATAGGATTTTCTATCTTTAAGCATAATATAGATCATTGTCTATAAATACATACATTACTTAATTTTCCTCATGTACTTGCAGTCTATATATTTGGAGCCTAATAAATTGACTATATAAATATTATATATCTTCCCCAGCCTCCTCCGGACCAATCTCGCCCTTCCTCCTCTCCAGAGAATGAACAGCGAAGCAACGAAAGTCGCGTGGAAATGTTGATAGACGCCCTCATAGGACTCATCATTGATGTGCCAGTTACGTATGTGTCTGTTATATAGAAAATACTTCCAATTCAGCCCTAGTAGGTTCTTTTCTAATATGGTTTGGTAGAAAGAGGAGCTTGGACGGTGGAGGCGAGCGTTTAACGCGTTAGATAGGGTCCCTTAAACCTACACCTGGGTCGCAAGTCACAGTCACTGTTGAAGCTCCTCTCAGTACAACGATGGACCCGGCACACGCACCGTGAATACATGGAATGATGAGAAATTCCGTCACTATAGCATTGACTTTTTAACTATATAAGTGAATTTAATACATATATATTAAGATAATCTGAATTTAGAGCTTGATGATGATGATGATGATGAAGAAACTATATTAAATAAATAAACATTATAAATAAACTACAAACTCTGCATCAATAGTTTGTTGTAGCAAACATGTTCTAAGATTACTTAAATGCCATTTTTTTGTCTATTTTCAGTGATAATACGTACTATTTACATCTGGAGTGCATCAATACATTGTTGGTGTTGATGTCTGTGTACATGTTTTCTGGTGTACACGGACAGACTAAACTTGTGGAGACATCATTAATATATAGGTAAGTACATATATATATATCAATAATTACTAAGTATTTATTTTATCACATATATCTATACTAATATTATAAAGCTGAAGAGTTGGTTTGTTTGTTTGTTTGAAAGCGCTAATCTCCGAAACTACTGGTTCCAATTGAATAATTCTTTTTGAGTTCGATAGTCCAGTTGTCTTGGAAGACTGTGGGCTATACAGGGTGTATGAAAAACTGTGTCAACCCTTGAAGGCATGTATACATATAAGTATAAGCTTATTATAAAAAATAGTATAACTTAAAAAATATCAAGCAGACGTCAGTTACAGTGCATAGGCAAATAAGTTTTAAATCGACATTATTTGAAGAAATGTTCCAAACATCTGACTCATACAAGGTCAAGACACCGTATAGTCGTAACGGCGCATGCGTGTCCATTGACCGCAGGCGACGGGCCGCCGGCGTTATTATTACTATTCTGTTAGTTGTTCGAATAGAGATTTGAAAGTGTAAGAATTAGTTATATCGATAAATATTCTATCGATATTTTCAATATTGCTATAAATAGTTATGCTTTTCACATTAAAATAATTTCATTTAAAATAACTTTTATTAATAATAAATATTATAATTTGAAACTTGTTCAGGTAAATTAACTACATATGTTGTATTATTAGGATAAATCGTTAATCTATTTCTGTTAAAAATGGTGTTTTACAATCAAACATAATATTAATGTTTGATATATCAAAATAAGTATCGAAATAATATGAATATTAAATATTTATTTATTGTTATGATTTTTTAAATATCGATATTTTCAATAATGTGAAAGTAACTTCAAGGTCGTCACTAGTAGCGCAGCAGGTGTGATGACGTCATTGCGTGTCATCGTGTTATACAAGGGTTTACAAACATTTTGTTACTCTACATATAATAATCATTTAATATTTAATTTTATTATTTTTATTGAAGAGTTTGTAAATGTAAGTTGTTTTATTCTGTTACATTATCGATACTGATAACGTAGTTAAGAGGGTTGACACAGTTTTTCATACACCCTGTATAAAATCACGCTACGACCAATAGGAGCAAAGATATAGTGGTAAATGTGTAAAAAACAGGAGAAATTATTTCATCTTTGAAGCCTTCCGTTGCGTGCGCCGTGAAAACGGTTCAAGATACACAAAAAATATGTAGTAAAGAATAATAGCTCTTTTAATGATCTAAAAAACAGTCCGCGACAGTATATGTCTATCTTTTAAGATTAACTTACAAAAACCGTTTTTATGGTACCTAATTTGGTCGAAATAATTTGTTTAAGTTGTATCAACATAATAATATTAATCTTTATTCAAATAAACAAATAAATATGTTGTTGGTTAAGAGTACTTCATTGTGAATAAAAAAAAACATAGGTTTTATCCCGAAAATTCTACGGGAACTCGACCATTCCGAAAATCACGCAAGAACGGGAACTATGTGGGAAGAACCAAAAATCTGCCGGAAGTCACTATTCCACGCGGACGCAGTCGCGGCAAAAGCTAGTTCTTTTATAAAGGCCTATTAACATGCTTTATTTAAAGCAATAATATGGATATAACTAAAGATTACATAGACTATATAATACACCGTAAATCTAGAATTAAAATATGTCGTTGTTTTATAAGATTGTATTTTCATTGAAAAATCTGTAGCATTTTCCAAATAGCTCAAACTAAGCTGTAATTCATTTAGAAATTACCTTACACTTTTGTTAAAGACCATTGTATTAGTTAACACGTTTTAAGTATATTTGCATGAACTTCCTCAAAAAAGAATACATGTAATTACATATACAGCCACGGGCAAAAGTATTAGGCACCCTACAGTAAGACAAGTTTTAGGGTGTTTTAGCATAGCGAGTGTAAATAAAACTGCATTTATGAATTCAATGGTTTATTTTAAGAAAATAATTAATATTTTGTAGGTCCACCTTTTGACTTAATAACCGCAGCCACTCTTTTTGGCATTGACTCTACCAGCCTGAAACATTCTTCTCTTGATATATTTTTCCATTCCTGCTGTAACGCGGCCAATAGAGCTTGTTTATTGCTAATCGAGTGCCTGCGGATATTTTTCTTTAAAATGGACCAAATATGCTCAATCGGGTTGAGGTCTGGTGATTGTGGTGGCCAGTCCAAAAGATCAATATGATTTTCAGCAAACCACTTCATGGTATGCGCGGACTTGTGGCAAGTGGCGTTGTCTTGCTGAAATTTCAGGCCATCGGTGTTTGTATCACCAAAAATTTGCGTTATCGACGTTGCTAGTGCTGTTTCCAGAACTTCAGTGTATTTAACACTATTCATTCGTCCCTCACACAACACCATTTCACCCACTCCGTCGGCAGCCATGCAGCCCCAGATCATTATTGAGCCTCCACCATGCTTAACAGTGGGAACCACACATTCTGGGTTGTATTCTTCGCCAACCCTTCGCCTAACATAAGTCACACCGGGTGTTCCAAACACCTATGCCAAACGAAAAAAACACATTTATTTTCAAAGTTATTATTTTTCTTGCAGTACGTTATTTTAAAAACATTTATGTGTTTTAATATTGTACATAAAATAAATAACAATACCTCAAAGTTAGATTCGTCTGACCACAGTATATTGGACCAATCTTCCACTGACCAATCTCTATGTTTGAGTGCCCACTCCAACCGATTTTTCTTATTGTGTTCTGACAGCCACGGCTTCTTCCTTGCTTTACATCCTTTTAATCCAGCTTTAAGAAGTCTTCTTCTCACAGTATAAACACTCACTGAGCTGCCTTTTGCCTCAGATAATGCTGCAGCGAGCTCTAAAGTAGTTTTTTTCCTGTTTTGTAGAGACTGCCTAATCAACAATCGATCTTCCCGTTCAGTAGTAACTTTTCTTCTGCCTGTTCTTGGTCTATTTTCATGGGTGCCAGTCTCTTTGAAGCGATTTATAGCATATTGGACTGCACATCGCGAGCACTTCACTTCTTGGGCTATTTTAACCTGATACATGCCTTGTTCATGTAAAATCTTAATTCTTAGACGCTGTTCAGCACTAAGTTCAGATTTTTTCGGCATGATTAACACGTTATATGTTAGTCTTTAGAATTGTGATAGGAATAGTTGCGTAGAAGACGTGTATGTTCACTGCAAGCACTGATAACACACTATAACCCGAAACGCAAAAAAAGCAAATTCGAAGAAACACCGCTTAGGAGCACACCTGGATGTCATAAATATTTTCTTTTATCTTAATTTGGTTAAAAATTGCCGCTAATACAATAGCTAAACCATAAAACACACACTTGACCGCAATATAATGAGATAGTGACTAACAATAGGGGTGCCTAATACTTTTGCACGCAGCTGTATGTTGTTTTTGATACAAGTACATTATATGCTATATCCTAGTTCATACAAGTGCTTGTTCTATATTTCTATACATGCAAATAAAAATTATCTTATCAAATTCTTTCTACACAGAACTCTATTCCAAGGTCGCTACAGTATGCACGCGGCTACTCTCGTCAAAACGTTGTTAACTAACCTCTGCCTGATGAAGCCGGCCCCACCACAATTCGGTGATACAGGCCCGGGAAGTATGCTTATTAATATAGCATGTGAGTATACAAATAATAATATACTTTATTTACCACAATAACATAGTAATTTAACAATAAAAATAACATATATACAAAACAAATATTACCTTCAATGACCTTAAAATGCTGCAAAGATAACAGAATAATTTATTTCTTATATAATACGTAAGTTAGATTATATTGTGTGCCTTTGGGAGCAATATATTATTTTTTTACTCTGTGTCAAATGTAAACATAGTTGATATATACATATATACTATGTTGGCATTTGATACAGAGTAAAAAAATTGTTTGATTATGATATATTATTGTTTAATCTATGATTTATATAGAATAAAACATTATGAAGTGTATTAAAAATATGATAGATAGGTATTGTTGATAAGCTAGTTCCACTTTTAAACTGACAGATCAAGAAAAAAAAATATAAATTGTTAGTCTGATAGATATTAAATGTATTGTGATTATTAATTTAGACATTTCATATAGAATCAATCTACAAAAAAGGTTTAAAACTGCAAATTTCCCCATAACATTCGATATTTTTGGTCTAAAAGTAATGAATTATCATAAAATCCTGTTTTATTTTCCAGCAAGTCTATGGAGTATGTTGACTTTCGCTCCAACAGCTCGTCAAACTATTTACACCAATACACCATTGGATAGAACGGAATTAATGAGCAGGTTAAAGCTTGAACATAGTGTAGCCAACCAGTCGTGTTTGTTGTTACTAGCTTTGGCTAATCATTGCATCAATGATGACAATATGTATAGGACAGCGTTGCTTCAATGTGAAGATACTGCTGGTAAGATAAACATATATATCTTATATATAAAATTCTCGTGTCGCGGTGTAAGACAGATAACTCCTCCGAAACAGCAGGACCGGTTTTGATGAAACTTGGGAGGATATTGAGTAGGTCTGAGAATCGGCCAACATGTATTTTTCATACCCTTTAGTCATAAGGGTTGTTCACACTTAATTTTTTGTTTTCATTTTTTTATAATGTAGCAGTATTAAATACATACAATCCAAAATTTTTACTTTTGTATTTCCAACCCCTATTTTTTTTTATATGGCAAAACAACGTTTACCGAGTCAGCTAGTATATATAATGTATAAAATTCAATGATAAAATGTGTGATGGATTAATTTTTAATACATTCTTAACAAAATATTAAAGAAGTGAAAATGTAAATGAAAATGTAATACGAAGGGGTAGAAATCAATTTTATGTGAACTCATATTGTTTTAAAATAAACTTTATAAGTATTGCTTAAATTCACAATTTAGTCTTATTTAACCTTGTTAGATGTTGCATTAGAAGTTTCGTTTCAACAAATACATAAAGTGTGCTAATTTCAGAAACATCGACCAAAGAAACAAATGCCAGTGTCACCGCACCAAGAATTGATATGGCAGCAGTTAGTATAATATTATAATTAAATTATAATTATATATATATACAGGGTGTATGAAAAACTGTGTCAACCCTCTTAACTACGTTATCAGTATCGAAAATGTAACACAATAAAACAACTTACATTTACAAACTCTTCAATAAAAATAATAAAATTAAATATTAAATGATTATTATATGTAGAGTAACAAAATGTTTGTAAACCCTGGTATAACACGATGATACGCAATGACGTCATCACAGCTGCTGCGCTACTAGTGACGACCTTGAAGTTACTTTCACATTATTGAAAATATCGATATTTAAAAAATCATAACAATAAATAAATATTTAATATTCATATTATTTCGATACTTATTTTGATATATCAAACATTAATATTATGTTTGATTGTAAAACACTATTTTTAACAGAAATAGATTAACGATTTATCCTAATAATACAACATATGTAGTTAATTTACCTGAACAAGTTTCAAATTATAATATTTATTATTAATAAAAGTTATTTTAAATGAAATTATTTTAATGTGAAAAGCATAACTATTTATAGCAATATTGAAAATGTCGATAGAATATTTATCGATATAACTCATTTTTACACTTTCAAATCTCTTTCCGAACAACTAACAGAATAGTAATAATAACGCCGGCGGCCCGGCGCTTGCGGTCAATGGTCACGCATGCGCCGTTGCGACTATATGGTGTCTTGACCTTGTATGAGTCAGATGTTTGGAACATATTTTCAAATAGTGTCGATTTAAAATTTATTTAGACTATGCACTGTAACTGACCTCTGCTTGATATTTTTTAAGTTATACTATTTTTTATAAAAAGCTTATACTTATATGTATACATGCCTTTAAGGGTTGACACAGTTTTTCATACACCCTGTATAAACACGTTATTATTATTATTTTTAGTATATTTATTTATATACGGGGTGACTGGTGAATTACTATCAATATTTAAGGAGAATACTCGGTACATGATTCTCATTAGAATTATGTAAAAAAAATAGGTACTTAATTTTTGACCAAATTTCCGTATAAATAAATAAAGTGTGGACACGTTCCAAGTGTGGACGCGTGCGGCGGCGTGCTTTTTTTTTATGTGAAGTTTGGCAAACGAGCAGACGGCCCACTTGGTGGAAGGTGGTTACCGTCGCCCATGGACATCCGCAACATCTTTGTTGCGGATGCGTTGCCAACCTTGTTTTTTAGGGATAGGGAGGGGTGGGAATAAGGAAATGATAGGAAAGGGTAGGAATAGGGAAAGGGCAACCGGCTCTCTCACTCATCGGACGAAACGCAGCCATAAAGACTACTTCAAGCTGATCATCTGTGAGAGGGTGGTACTTCCCCGGTCGAGCCAGCCCATGTTCGAGCTGTAGTAACTGACTACAACTAGGCTCTACCACCTTTAAAAGTGCTGATACAACACCACGTCGCCGCACGCGTGTGTGTGTGTGTGTGTGTGTGTGTATACCTAATCTTTAGGGTGTTCACACGGTGCGTAATTAATTACATAACTTTTGGTTAACTTTAATTAGAAGTTTATTAATATTTATGTTATATTAATTTTTATTTTGTCATATATGATCGTCAAATATCACGTCCTCAAGTATCGATAGTAATTCACCAGTCACCCTGTATATATATAAGGAAATTTTTGCATATAAATGGTTACAAATCCAATTTTATACTTTTATATGTGTCAATACTGAAAAATAATTTTGTGACATATTATTATGTATACAGGGTGACTGGTGAATTACTATCAATATTTAAGGAGAATACTCGGTACATGATTCTCATTCGAATTATGTAAAAAAAAATAGGTACTTAATTTTTGACCAAATTTCCGTATAAATAAATAAAGCGTGGACACGTTCCAAGTGTTCCAAGCGTGGACGCGTGTGGCGGCGTGCTGATACAACACTACGCCGCCACACGTGTGTGTGTGCGTGTGTGTATACCTAATCTTTAGGGTGTTCACACGATGCGTAATTAATTACATAACTTTTGGTTAACTTTACTTAGAAGTTTATTAATATTTGTTATATTAATTTTTATTTTGTCATATATGATCGTCAAATATCACGTCCTCAAGTATCGATAGTAATTCACCAGTCACCCTGTATAATTTGGATAGGCGTTTTATACTTTTTATTTGTAACTGATGTACATGTTAATAACTACATATAATAATACTCATATTTTTTTTAAATTCTTTCATGAACGTTTTCATAGATTTTATTTTGTCAGATAGCTAAAGCTTAAAGAAAACTTAACTACTTTAAATACAATAAATTATTAATATTTATGGATATTCTTCTTCCTGTCAATTTCCCAGCTTTAGCCACGGTCTGCCTAGAATTATATTATATTTATTATAATGAATACTATAAAATAAGTATATAATGTATGTTTTCTGCTAATAATTATTTAATTTGTAATGTTTCAGCTCCACAAGGCTCTATGCTGTACGGCGGGCTGTGAACATTCAACTCTGCTTCTCTACCTGATGCTACACTCTTGCAAAGCCTACAAGAAGCATGTCAGTCAAGTTCCGGATATAGAAAACCTGGTATGTTATATTATATACATATACATAAGCCTCAGAAATGGAATTTCATATTAAAAAACAATTCAAGATCTCCCAAACTGTTTTTAACCAAAAATTAAAAGATAAGAAAATTACAAATATACTAAATTTAAAAACAAAGTTTCTTATGTACCGAGTTACGATTTGACTCCAACAAGTGCCACCAAGCAAATGGACTATCAGCTCTAAAGAAATTCCTTACATATATTTACTTAGTACTGTTTCTTAATAAAAGAAGTCCTGTATTTATATACATGTACTCTCTCTTTAAAGTTAGAATACATTACAATCAAACAAAACATTTAATAATAATCAAATGCAATTTAAAATTTACTATCTAATGGTAATATGGAAAGAAAGTTATGATGAAAATCTATTACAACATATGTTGTCGTCTAAACGGACTTTTGGAGTTTAGTAAAGAAACTAGTATTGTTAGCTTTAAATATTAATCATCTATCGTTTGTGGCATGAAACTTTTCCGCGAAAAGTACTTAGAAAAAGGAAATATATTATAACATGAGTTACATGACTGAAAATTTCATCAAAATCTATTCAGCAGTTTTTCTGTAAAAAGTAACAAACATACTCAAAAATTGTCTCATTAAAAATACTAATGAGATTACTAGTATTTATAATGTTCTATGTATACATATTACATATATGTTTTTATTAATAATAATTCTGTCTTAATAGTATATTATAATAATTTTAACATATATATGTTCCAGATAGTACCGATACTTCAAGTTCTTTACAACGCTCCTGAAAGTAATTCACATCACATATATATGTCGCTTATAGTACTATTGATATTGACGGAAGATGATGCTCTCATTAAAAATGTTCATTTAATTGTGAGTATATAGAAATTGTATACATAATATCTCCTCCTAACTGGCAATTTCCCAGCTTTAGCCAGGGTCTGCCTTACATGTTGTGAATAGTTTTGGCTAATTGTTTTTACGACCGGCCGCCTGCCTGACATCAACCCTCTTTGGGAGTAATGTATGTAATATATAGATATATATTTAGGGAACAAATATTTCATTTGAAACAAACCTTAAAACTCCCGAACGCACCGGAAATGACGTTAAAGCGATGACGTTTGTTCGTTCACTTTTACGCGGGAAAGTATTTTATCAACGCGATTAGTGTCTTTATAAATTAAATTTAACTTATTTAAGATCTTTTGGTTTGAGGTAATAATTAATTTGTTCTCGTTTATGTTGATTTGCTATATAAAAGTACCTTTTTTTATAAGACAACTATATTTTTTAATGATTTTGTTAGAATACCAAACAAAAAAAGAGTCAAATCACGAACTATACTATTGACATTTCAATTTCCAGATGTTAAAGAACCTTCCGTGGTATACAGAACGCTCTATATCAGAGATTTCACTTGGAGGTCTAATGGTTTTGGTCGTTGTGAGGGCCCTACAATATAATATGGCTCGAGTTAGAGATAAATATCTCCATACAAATTGTTTAGCTGCCATCGCTAATATGAGTTGTAAGTAAAAGAAATTAATTACATATTAAATGTGATTTAATATTTATATACTGTCTTATAGTAATGTATGTATATGTAAATTTCAGGTGAATTCAGAAATCTACATCCCTATGTGAGTCAAAGGCTTATATCATTGTTTGAAACTTTAACCAAACGGAGGACAAGGTTGTGTAGTGAAATAGAAGGTATTTAGACAAACAAATATACCTTATATACATATATATACCATTTAAATATAATTTTAGTTATAAGTAACCAAAAGACTCAAAAGAGAGAAGTGGCTTTTGTTATATTTTTAATAATATATTTAGCATTTTTGGGGCCGTATTGGTTTAAACTGATCATAGATTATATGAATTAAATTTTGTTTGATTTTCGTCGCTTTATGTAAAATTGCTTTTATAGTTGAAGTTATTGACACGACGAAAATTATAAAGTAACCAAAACAATGAAACTTTCATATTATTAATAATGATTTTTTTATACTGTGACTACAACTTCGTCTGAACTAAATAGTTATTTTCCTCATTTATAGTAATGAAAGCATAGTTTCATATTTTAAGCGTTGGGACGTATGGAGAAAATAATAGACTTTTCACTTGTTCAAGGAATGTTTTATTGAAAATATTTACAGTTATTTATACTAGAAAATTGATTACATATAGAATATGAATAACCAGCACATTAAAACAGGCGTTTTAATTGGTCGCCGCGCATACGGTTTCGTCTTTAATGCGCATGCGTTTAATCGGTATCACTGCGCATGCGTTAACCGTGGTTATATCTGTCACTCCAGCGAGCGCATCGGTCTTTTGGATCGCGCGCGCCGGGGAGTGACAACATCTTGAAAACGCTGCTAACTGAAGAAAAAGAAGACTACGTCGTGGCGAGGGGCCGGCATCGTGTCATCAGTGTGTTCCTGTTTCAATGATGAAAGCGTCACCAAATCCAGCGGCGAGAACGTCTTTATAAATACACTATTGTTATCAATATGTGTACCTGTTTCAATGATGAAAGCGTCACCAAATCCAGCGATGAGAACGTCTTTATCAATACACTATTGTTATTAATATGTGTACCTGTTTCAACGATGAAAACGTCACCAAATCCAGCGATGTGAACGTCTTTATAAATATACTATTGTTATTAATATGTGCTTCCGTTTCAACGATGAAAGCGTCGCCGAATCCATCAACGAGAACGTCTTTATAAATAAATAAACTATTGTTATTACTTCGTGTACGTGCTGCTACAGTAATCCCCCTCAAGTGAAACGTACCGGCAACTTGATGGAGCGGCCTAGTCGAGTTGATATACGAGTAGGCTGTGACGTCATGTTGTTCGTATCAGCTGATTTTTCAATTGGTAAGGTTTTGATGGTAACTCTGGTATCATTTGTAATGGTTTTCTTGGTTTGAGGTAAATCTGAATTTTCGGTATTTAACACATATGCAGGCTTCAGTCGATCAATTGAGATGCATGTTTGACGATCGGGTAATTGAATTGTAAAAACTTTATCTGTTCTGTTTACAACTCGAAAGGGGCCTTCATAGGGTGTTTGAAGCGGTGATTTGACTGCGTCGACTCGAATAAACACGTACGGACATGTTCGTAGGTCTTGATGGACGAAAATGTGTTTATTATTTCGTTGCGAGTTCGGTAATGGTTTATATTTCTGTATATTTTCTCGTAATTTTTCGACGTAATTATAATTTAATGATGCTGAGTCTGTTGTTTTATTTGTATCGAGGAAATCACCTGGGAGTCTTAAGTTATAGCCGTAGGTAAGTTCGGCTGCGCTTACGTTGTTATCGGTGCGTAAGACGGCTCTTAACCCGAGTAGTATAGTAGGTAACTCATTGATCCATGACGTTGTATCGGATAGTTTGGCGCGTAATGCGTTCTTCAATGAACGATGCCATCGTTCAATCATTCCGTTGCTTTGTGGATGATAAGGCGTAGTTCGTATTCTTTGTATTCCGAGTATTTTCATTAAGTTTTTAAATATTTGACTTTCAAACTGTCGGCCTTGATCACTTGTTATAGTAGCGGGGCATCCGAATCGACTTATCCAGTTGTTGTATATGCATTCTGCGACTGTTTCGGCGGATATATCGATTGTAGGTATCGCTTCGGGCCATTTCGTATGTCGATCGATCATGGTTATTAAATATCGGTGACCTTGAGCTGTTGTAGGTAACGGTCCGACGATATCTATGTGCACGTGTTGAAAGCGGTCGGTTGGCGGGAACGAATTTATTTTGCTGTGTGTGTGACGTTGTATTTTGCTCTTCTGACATTGAATGCAATTCTTAGTCCACGTTGCGATGTCTTTATTCATCGACGGCCAAAAGTATTTTCTTGATAATAATTTCCTTGTTGTTCGCGTTCCGGGATGACTGATATTATGTATGTTGTTAAAAACTTCTTTACGATGATCGGTAGGTATGTAAGGTCGTATGAATGATGTTGATGTTTCACAAAGTAATTCTATATCTGTATTAGGAATATTTACCCTTTTGAATGATAGGTTGGTTTGTTGAAGTAAATGTTGAATGTTGTTGTCACTTCGTTGTGCTGAGGCTATTTCTTCATAATTTATTGTAGACGGGCAGGATATAGTTTCGACACGACTTAAAGCGTCGGCGACGATGTTTTGTTTTCCACTTACGTGACGTATGTCGGTTGTAAATTCACTAATGAATAATAATTGTCTTGTTCGTCGCGGCGTCTCGTTGTTTGTTGATGTTTTGTTCATAGCAAACGTGAGTGGCTTGTGGTCGGTGAATATTATGAGTGGTCTGCCTTCAAATATTTTCCTGAAGTGTTTTACTGCCATATATATAGCAAGTAATTCACGATCGTATGTTGAGTATTTTTTCTGAGCGTCTGAGAATTTCTTTGAGAAATAACCGAGGGGCTGCCATGTATTATGTATGTACTGTTGTAGTACGGCTCCGGCGGCGTTGTCTGAGGCGTCACTGAATATTGCGAGTGTTGCTTCGTGAGACGGGTGAGCGAGTAAAGTCGCGTTACTGATGCTAACTTTACATGCTTCGAATGCTTGCGTTGCTTCGTCGGTCCACTCGATTATAGTTTTATCGCGCTTCTTAACGTTGTGTAGATATGAATTTAGCGGAGCTTGTATAGTGGCGGCGTTTGGAATGTGATCTCTATAGAAATTTAACATTCCTAGGAAGCGTCGTAGTTCTTCGACTGTTTTCGGTTTCGTATAGTTGACGATAGCCTTGACTTTATCATCGGGTGGTTTGATGCCTTGTTCCGATACCATGTATCCTAGGAATTTGACTTGCTGTTTTCCGAAATTACATTTCGCGGGGTTTATAGTGATGCCGTGCTCTTGAAATCGTGTGAGTACAGTTCGGAGGTGTTCTCGATGTTCAGTTTCGTTGGCTGAAGCTATCAAAACGTCATCAATGAAAGGGAATACGTAATCGAGTCCTCGGAGCACTTCGTGAATATATCGTTGAAAAGTTTGTCCGGCATTCTTCAGACCGGGACACATTCGAGGGAATTCGAATAAACCCATTGGTGTTATGATTGCTGTCTTCTCAATGTCTTCAGCGCGGACCTCAAGTTGTTGGTAAGCGCGGTTGAGATCGGCGGTTGAAAATATGGTTTTACCTGAGAGATGATGTGTGAAGTCCTTGACTCGCGGTACTGGGTAGCGATCGGGTTTCGTTATCGCGTTGAGTCGTCGATAGTCACCGCACACTCTTATATCCCCATTCTTTTTAGGTACAATATGAAGTGGCGATGACCATGCGCTTTTACTAGGACGACAGAGTCCTTGTTGCATCATATTCTCAAATTCTTTCTTAACGGTTTCGTAACGATGCGGCGGTATAGGTCGTGCTCGGCAGTGGATCGGAGGTCCCGTAGTTTCGATATAATGTTCGACGTTGATTTTAGTTCCCAGCTTCATTGCGGTAAGTCGTGTTATACCGGGGAATTCAGCGAGTATGTCGTGGTACGCGTCGCTTATGTCGATGCTTCTTATTGTGGGAGTAGTAGTTGATTTAATCGGCACGTTTACTCGTAAATTCGTTACGGCGTCGATTAATCTTCGATTCTTGATATCAACGATGAGTTGGTGATAGTTTAAGAAATCGGCTCCTAATATAGGCTTCGATACATCGGCAACTATAAATTTCCACTTGTACGGTCGTCGTAGATTTATATCGAGTTCGAGCGTTCGTTCTCCATACGTTGATATTACCGTGTTGTTGGCGGCATATAATTTGAAAGGTAGCGGCGTCGATTTCTGGCCTGGTTTTCGAGGTAGTACGGAGATATTGGCTCCCGTGTCTACTAAGAAAGAGTAGTTCGTTTTTTTATCGGTAACGAACAGGCGGTATGATTTGTGAACGCCGGATTCCGCCTCTGCCAACGTTCGGTCTAGTTTTCCGACTTCGTGTGGTCTTTAGTATAACTACACGGCGTAGTACACCGTCGGGCTTGACTACCAAAGCGGCGGTGATAGTAACACAGTGGAGATGGCGAATTGTGACGACTGCGATGTGTTGATAATCTGCGTTGACGGCTTCGGGAGTGATCTCTTCGATGTTTGAAGTTGTTGTATGCCGGTCGTGCCTTTAATTCTGCTACTTCGAGTTTTAGTTTCCTTACTGCATTAATAAGTAATTGGTTGGCGGCGGCTTGAGAGCTGGCGAGAGCTTGAGGTGGCTGGGTTTCCATTTTCGAATGTTTTTCGGGCAGGGATTTGTCCGGATTCCTTTTCTTCAGAGGTTTCTTGTTGTTCAGTCGAGGGTCACCACTTTAAGCGTTGGGACGTATGGAGAAAATAATAGACTTTTCACTTGTTCAAGGAATGTTTTATTGAAAATATTTACAGTTATTTATACTAGAAAATTGATTACATATAGAATATGAATAACCAGCACATTAAAACAGGCGTTTTAATTGGTCGCCGCGCATACGGTTTCGTCTTTAATGCGCATGCGTTTAATCGGTATCACTGCGCATGCGTTAACCGTGGTTATATCTGTCACTCCAGCGAGCGCATCGGTCTTTTGGATCGCGCGCGCCGGGGAGTGACAACATCTTGAAAACGCTGCTAACTGAAGAAAAAGAAGACTACGTCGTGGCGAGGGGCCGGCATCGTGTCATCAGTGTGTTCCTGTTTCAATGATGAAAGCGTCACCAAATCCAGCGGCGAGAACGTCTTTATAAATACACTATTGTTATCAATATGTGTACCTGTTTCAATGATGAAAGCGTCACCAAATCCAGCGATGAGAACGTCTTTATCAATACACTATTGTTATTAATATGTGTACCTGTTTCAACGATGAAAACGTCACCAAATCCAGCGATGTGAACGTCTTTATAAATATACTATTGTTATTAATATGTGCTTCCGTTTCAACGATGAAAGCGTCGCCGAATCCATCAACGAGAACGTCTTTATAAATAAATAAACTATTGTTATTACTTCGTGTACGTGCTGCTACAATATCATACATCTGACAATTAAAATAGATCCAATGGTTTTATAGATAATAACTAATAAGGAACAAACAAGCAGACTTAATATTTTTTAACGTATTTTTCACATTATATTAGATGTACTAAAGGTAACTATAGTCAAATATAACATCTATATAATATAATAATATATATTTTCTATTCCAGGTGATAGTATAGGTCTGCCGCATCATATTTCTGTGTGTGATGTTGAGAAGACAGAGGAAATCGTTAGTATTTTAAATAAATGTTTATAAAGATATTTCGTAATAAGAGTATTTGGACACCACTGACAGGCAAAGAAAACATCGTGAGGAACCTGGACTTATAATTTCACCCCGTCAACCCGTCTTGAGCAAGCGTGGTGATTAATGCTCAAACCTTCTCCATGTGAGAAAAGGCCTTTGCTCAGCAGTGGGCTCTGATAGGATGAGGTCATGATGAAAGATATTAGTTTTTATTTAGGATTTAAAACTGCATATTTACTATAGAAATATTGATAGTTAATGAGATTGCGCTAAAAAAATATAATATACTTCATTTATATTCCTGTTTTATGTATGTTTGTATATCACGAACATGAAAGCTATAAAAATATATAATCTATAACATTTTTTAAATATTATATTCCCATTTTAGATACTATTTTAGCTTTACTATATATTTTAATAATATTTTCATCCATACAAAAGATTTAATTAAATTTACTTTATATATTAATATCTTTGTTCTACCAGATTGAACACATAGCGGTCTTAGACGAAGTTCTTCGTATGTTGTTGGAGATCATCAACTCGTGTTTAACACATCAGCTAGTGAACAACCTCAACTTGGTGTACGCTCTGCTTCATAAGAAACAGCTGTTCCAACAACATCAGCATTTACATATAGCGCAGAATATTGAAATGGTCAGTGTTATGTATTTATATATAGTGCGGAGCTTTGAAATGGTCACTCATTTAAGTACATATAGTGCACAATATTGAAATGGTCAGTGTTATATATTAAGATATAGTGTGGAACTTTGTAATTGTCACTCAATATTATTTACCTTAATTATAGAACTTTGAAATGATCCGAACATTATATACCTATAGTGCAGAATATTGAAATGGTCACTCGATACTATTTACATATAGCACATAATATTGAAATGGTCAGAATATAAATATTTACATATACAGGGTGACTGGTGAATTACTATCAATATTTAAGGAGAATACTCGGTACATGATTCGCATTCGAATTATGTAAAAAAAATAGGCACTTAATTTTTGACCAAATTTCCGTATAAATAAATAAAGTGTTGACACGTTCCAATTGTTCCAAGTGTGGACGCGTGCTGATACAACACTACGCCGCCGCACGCGTATGTGTGTGTGAGTGTATACCTAATCTGTAGGGTGTTCACACGATGCGTAATTAATTACATAACTTTTGGTTAACTTTACTCAGAAGTTTATTAATATTTATGTTATATTAATTTTTATCTTGTCATATATGATCGTCAAATATCACGTCCTCAAGTATCGATAGTAATTTACCAGTCACCCTGTATAGTGCAGAATTTTGGAGTGGTCAGTTAGAATTTCCATATAGTGCAGAATATTAAAATGGTCAGATCATTAGCATTTAACTATAGTGTAGAATTTTGAAATGAATTTTATTCGAAATTTCATATATCACTGAAGTCATTGTATGAACACTAAACTTTCAGTATCTAGAATAAATTAAAAGTTGAAGTAATTCTGCTCATTCCAACAATAATTTCAATCTATATTCCTAATTATAATGCACATAAGTATCATCTTCGTTTTAATATTTAAACATGATTTTAATATATATTATATTTATTATAGGTGATAGGATACTTCTCAACCCGTCTCCAAAGGGTACAAGAAGGCGCTGGCGGAGATCTCGGTGTGAATGAAGTGTTACAATGTATTAAGAAAGGTGCCGAACAATGGTCTAGTGATAGACTTAAGGTACATACAGATTATATATTACATATAAACAATATTACAATAGATATAATCCTACTAATATTATAATTGCGAAAGTTTGTGAGTGTGTGTGTATGTTTGTTACTTCTCCACGCTCAAACGGCTGAACGGATTTTGATAAAATTTTGTATAAAAGAAGCTGACGTGCAGGAATAACACATAGGCTACTTTACATCCCGAAAATCTCGGAAATCCTCGGAATACACCGCGGGGCACAGCTAGTCTTTGTATAATTATACAAAAGCATGAATATATGTATATACTAGCTGACCCTACAAACGTTGTTTTGCCATATAAAAAATAGGCGTTGAAAGATAGTATAAATTTTGGGTTGTATGTACTTTTTAATGCTACATTATAAAAAAATAAAAACAAAAAATTTCGTCCGATAAAAAAATGAAGGGTGGATAACCCTTATGACTTCGGGGTATGAAAATAGATGTTTTCCGATTCTCAGACCTACTCAATATGGTCACAAAATTTCATCAAAAACGGTCCAGCCGTTTCGGTGGAGTTCTCTTTCTAACACTGCGACACGAGAATTTCATATATAAGATATATTTTACATATAAACAATATTACAATAGATATTCAGGCTTGCTTAATTGTGTTTTGTAATATCTATATTGCATATCAACAAAAGTTAATTATATATATCGTCGGGGATAGTGCAAAGCATCGTAACTACCATTAGATAATTCTGCGTATCTACATTAGAAGCAGTTTTACAGAAGAAGGTTTAAGGTGAAATATTTTCTAAATTAAAGACTTTAAGATAATTTTTTCACAATTAGTAATAAATTTAACACAAAATAATTACTAATTGTGAAAGAAATTCCCGTAAAAGTGGTTAATATAGAAAATATTTCAGCTTAAACTTTCTTCTGATTTGCTTCCAATGTAAAGAAGAGAAATTATCTAATGGTCGTTACACGGATTTGCACTATCCCCGACTATATATACAGGGTGACTGGTGAATTACTATCAATATTTAAGGAGCATACTCGGTACATGATTCTCATTCGAATTATGTAAAAAAAATAGGTACTTAATTTTTGACCAAATTTCCGTATAAATAAATAAAGTGTGTACACGTTCCAAGTGTTCCAAGTGTGGACGCGTGCGGCGGCGTGCTGATACAACACTACGCCGCCGCCGCGTCTGTGTGAGTGTGTGTGTATACCTAATCTGTAGGGTGTTCATACGATGCGTAATTAATTACATAACTTTTGGTTAACTTTACTTAGAAGTTTATTAATATTTATGTTATATTAATTTTTATTTTGTCATATATGATCGTCAAATATCACGTCCTCAAATATCGATAGTAATTCACCAGTCACCCTGTATATACATATGTATGTGTTTTATAGTTTCTATATAAGATATATAATTTTTATAATATCCACAGAAATTCCCCGATTTGAAGTTCCGTTACGTTGAAGAGGATAGGCCTGAAGAATTCTTCACACCATATGTATGGGCTTTAATCAGTGTCTGTGGCAATATATATTGGGCCAGCGAGTGTGGGACAAGGGCTGCCGGAGACTTGTTGGCGTGATTGTACACTATACACTAAATACACTTCATACACTTGACACTTACACTCGATACACTTGGTACAAAAATGTTTCATTATGACACTACTTACTGGCTGAAAAATATATATATATATATATAAACTCATTTTATTTCCTACATAATTGTACTATCAAGTCACAAATATATATTCATGGTTTTTCGTCAATTGTCAGTATATATAGTATATGGTTATTTGTGAACAAAAACTTTTATTCCAATAACATATGATATTAATGTTTATATATCAAATAGTTCAGATGATTGTATCGTCATTGTTATGACTAGCGACTGAATATAAGTCTCCGTTACACATGATAGATATACGGTAATGCAATATAGGGTTATCAATAAATAATATTTAATAAAAATTGTTTTACTTTCAAGTATCCTTAATCACGTCATAATAAGTATATAAGTCAGTGGTGGCCTAGTGGTTAAAACGCCCGCCTCTCATGCATGAGGGCGTGGGTTCGATTCTGGCAAGTACCAATGGTATTGGACTTATATGTACTTTCCAAGATTAATTGGACATCACTGATTAATGCAGTTCCAAAGAGGGTTGATGTCAGGCAGGCGGTCGGTCGTGAAAACAAATAGCTAAAACTATCCACAACATGTAAGGCAAACCCTGGCTAAAGCTGGGAAATAGCAACGTAGAAGAATAAGTATATGTATATATAAATCCCTTATTCCTTGGTCACTCCATCACTCGTGGACGGATGAACAGATTAGAAAGTGTAAGAAAAAATTTAAATTATCTTTATTGAAAACTTTTTAATATAGTTTTTGCTGAAGATATTTTAAATAAGTAATTGTCAGTTAATAAAATCAAAGACTCGCGAATGTTCATTTAAATGTAACTAATAAAATCATTTCGTCTGTCCGTGATCACAGTTGCTGTAAACTGCAAAGTAATCAAACTTCGGGAGTAAGTGTTACAAAATACGAGAAGTGATCCCAATATATTAGTTTCATTTAATAATTGTTAGTTGTCTGTCAGTAATTCGGATAGATGGCATACTTATTAGAATATTGTTTACGAAGAACTCATAATTCTCAAGTAATTTTGTATTTTAGTTTACATTAGAATTAAATTAGTCGGAAATAAAGATATTACAATTAAAAACTAAGGGTTCAAAGTGAATTATATTTCACACTAAGCTCCTTCGTTTGAATGATATCTTTGATGTGATAGGACAAAGTCTGTCAGGTCTACTAGTTTATTATACAATACTAGTATAATAAACTAGTAGACCTAAATTCTAAACAAAAAAATACTTACACACTAGGCAATTGTAATACTTGTATGTTAAATAGAAAATTATTTCGATTGATTGATTGTAACACATCAAATATTTTGTATTAATGTTCTTAAATGAGAAGAACATTATATTCAAGAATCGGCTATTGCAGATTTTTGAGTTGATAACTATGAAACTTCAAGTAGATTTCGAATCGTCAGTAAAAGCCTCTCAGTATTAAAACCTGTGCAAGGAGGCACATTGTGGTTTATAAATGTTTATTTTGCCTGTTTTAGTTTGAGGCTTTTCAATAAAGAGTTAATTTATTAGATTGTATATTCCTTTACCCTTTGTACACAGTCATCGTCATCGCCCGAAGCTTTCCAATTTATCTTATTAGAAGGTGCATTTGCTATTGACAGTTATATAAAAATTCATTCTGCTCTTGATACAATTACGAGATGATGATAAAGACTGGATTATGAACAAGTAAATGGTTTCGTATGCGATCGTTAAGATATATTTATTTTTAAAAATCTCTGTATATTAATCAAGACTATGTTGTTGTTTTATCTTCCTTTTCATTAATAAAATATTTTTGCGTCAATAATTTTATTTAAAAACAATTATTAACTAAAGCAACACCGGCCAATGTAAGCTCAACTTGCGAGTTGCGAACTGGCAAAGCGATATGTGGCAACACTTTAAATAAATCAATCAATGTAGTTAAATGTTTTGTGCGAAATAAATTATTGTTTATTTGTTAAAATATATTAAAAACTTGTTATTGACATCTTGTTATATGAAAAATATATTTTAACGTTGCTTATAAAAACTAACTTCTTTATTATTAAAGTTTATTGTGCATAAAGAAAGGTTTGCGGCGTTTCGTGACAGGTATGAGCTTTGTTTTTATTATTTTATAACAATTATGTTTTATTACGTATCAATTAAATAGTATATAATACATGAATCATTAGTATATTCAGTAAAAACAAATTAATTTTCAATATCAGTGTTTTTTAAACTTATTATATCATAGAAACATTATATTCTTTAACTCAGTTTAGAATTAGAGTTCGTTATTTAAGTCGATACAATTCTATTTTTTTTTTTATTACGACGATTTAATTTCCAATTACCCTCATTATAACAAAGAAGTAATTGTATATGTAAATATAATTACAGTTATGTGTACTCAAGCATAATTTAAACGATAAAAAATTCGCTTACGCCTGATCGCTAATCGGTATTATTAATTCATTACGTCTCTATAAAGAATACGATTTAATAATTAATTTCATTAAATTAGTGAAAAAGTAAGGAAAGCTAAAATATATTTGAATACTTGTGATTGATGTTTAATAAAACAAAATAATTTTTTTTTACAACTCAATCATCATACAGTATATTAAAAAAAGTATTTATATATATAAATATTATATTATATATATTGCAGTGACATTTTGTTAATACTTAAACTATAAATAATATGATATCTTATTTAAATATAAGTAAAATATATAATAGGTATTCAATAATTCTGGTAGATTTTTTTTAACAATTAACAATATGGAAAAACTATTTTATTATATATGATTCACATTTGAAATTTCCTATTAGATTCTTGATATATAAATAATAATTTTTGATCACATATTACATTTTAGCTTCTAAATTAGTATTTAATGAGATTAAAGGTGTTTTAGTCTTAATACAGCTTAAAGCTTAAAACTTATTAATCAATGTTGAAAAACACTTCTCAAGGTCATAAAATACTTTTTAAAGGCATAAATGTATAAATATCTAATAAAATGGTATAAAATAATGTATATACATCATTGAATACAAACATTTTGTATATTAAGAGTCTCATATAACTGTCCGTCTTGATAAATACATAATAAGTAAAATAAATTTCAATAGATTTTAATAAACATGACATAGGTAATCTTAAATTGCGATTTATATTTTATATATATCGACATACTTAGCTCATATTATTTAAATCAAAATTTAAATGAGAAAACGTTCAATCAAAAATTCATCACAAGTGGGATACAAATCTATAATTTTACCAATTAAGCTGTTATATCCTGATCACTCTATTGTATGAATTATGTACTCCATTTTATTTTCTTCTAATTTAAAATTTAAATCAATTAATCAGTTATATATAAAATCTCTTACTCCCAAGACATACTTGTATAAGAGATTTTTCATTATTAACACTTTAAAATTTATATGGACAAATTTAATTTTGATCTTTCGTCAAAATCATTAACTATAAGCAATACAAATTTTTATATCTCCGTAGTATGAATTATTTTATATACAGGGTGACTGGTGAATTACTATCGATACTTGAGGACGTGATATTTGATGATCATATAATATGACAAAATAAAAATTAATATAACATAAATATTAATAAACTTCTAAGTAAAGTTAACCAAAAGTTAACTTTAAGATTAATAATTTGTAATTCACCAGTCACCCTGTATAATAAATTAATAGGTGAACTGTTGTTTGTGTGTCACTGGAAAAGTGATAGTCTAATTTTGATCATACTATTAATTTTAGTATAAGACTTGCCTTTATAAAAGAATATTATATTTGAATTATTTAATTCAATATGATATTTTTGAGAAATATTTTTATTTAGTGAAATGTGTTTTATTGCACATATAAAAACTATTGCAGATGAATATATAGTTGGAACTTAGTCGAAATCATACTATTTTATTTTTAGTCTTCGGTTTTTCTTAAATTTTTAGTAATATCTATACTTAAATGTATTTATTTTAGTGTAATGTAGATATCAGAAGTTGAAGAAATAGTTGCAAAAAACGAATATATTTTATGACGAATTTAACATAGGTTTGAAGTAACATTTATTGAGCAGGTGATATTAATTTCTTGTTCATATTAAAGAGCGTAATTAAGCCTTTTAAACCATGTTTAAAATGATTAAAATAATTATATATATTTATTATATTTTAAGTCTCTGTATGTTGAAGTCTGTTCCATATGTTGCAGAAAATGTTTATAGTGATGTTTTTCTTAATCTTCTTCTTCTTTCTTTTTCCTGCAATGGTCCCACTTTATGTAGGGTCGGCACAACATGTTCTTCTCTGTCAGTCTCGTCTATAAGCCATCAACTCATCGCTTATCAATTTCTTAGCCATGTCATCCTTCACACAATCCATCCATCATTATTTAGGTGTACCTCGACCCACATTTCCCTCCACATTCATATCTAACATTCTTCTTGTTATATGACATTGATCTCTTAGAATAATATGTCCATACAACGCTGATGTTGTTGTTAATATTTGAGGCAAAATGTGTTGTTAGTTTACTTAGACTTATTCATTATGAAAATCTTAAGGCAATAAGCAATTAACAATAGATTTCAATCAAAAATAGATTTATGTAATAATATTTTCTAGTTTTTGCTGTCTACCACTAAAAAATCGGACTTATCCAATTAGAAACATGATCAACTGTCCCACCAAAAGATTAATCCGATTTCGGTAAAACTTAAGCATTCGAGGGATTTCATTAAATACGTTTATATACTGGATTTTAAAGGTGGAGCCTAGCTGTAGTCATGTTACTACAGCTCGAAAATGGACTGGCTCGACCGGGGAAGTGCCACCCTCTCACAGAAGATCGGCGTGAGCTAGTCTTCAATGGCTGCGTTTAGTTCGATGAGTGAGAGAGACAGTTGCCTTTT